AACAGCAAGGAAATTATCATTAATGTCCTCAGAGAGTTAAATAAAAATATTACTTCTGTGCAAAAAGAACAGTTGCTATAATTGAGGAGAAATCAACAAATAAGAAAGATCTCTGGGAAAATAAAAATATAGATGCTAAATTTTTTTTTTTAAGCCAATAGAAGGATTGAAGGTAAAGTTGGAGAAGCTCCACAGAAAGGACAATGAAAAGGAAAATTTGCATAACAGAAGAAAAAAGATTTTTTTTTTAAATGGTGGGTCATTGCAGCAACAGCTAGCTAATAGAAATTTCATAAAGAGAGAACCAAGAAAACAGTAGGGAAGTAGTTGTTAAAGTAATACTACAACAGATTTTTCCAGAACTGAAGAACAAGAATATCTAGGATGAAAAGATCACCATATGCCTGGGACAATGAACAAAAAAAGATCTCCAGGAAAACAAAGTCATCATCTTGAATTTCAGGCTATGAGTGATAAGGAGAAGATTATGTATGTTTCCAGAAAGAACATGCAAATTATATGAACGACCAAGAATGCAATAGACTGCTCAAAAGCAACAAGAGAAGCTAGAGGGTGGTGGGAAAATGTCTTCAAAATGTTGAGAAAAAATAATTTGCAACCTAAAATTCTATATGCAACCAGACTATCAGTCAAGTGTGATCACTGAATACAGCCATTTTCAAGCATATGGATGTCCCAGGATGACAGCTGACAGATTTGACTACAAGGAAAACTTTGAGAGGTTCATACAGTTTTTTGAGGGTGTAAGAGAGATTTGGATGTTCAAGAACAAAACAAGTGGAAAAACAAGGCAATTATTAACTCCAGAAAAAAGAAAAAGTGCACAAGAAAGAATACTTCTTGGCTCAGTATTGAATAAAATTTATTTAGTTATAAATAATGAAAACATTGAATGTGTACTTAGCTAAAAATTGTGATATATTAAGAGGATGGAGGAAATGATACAGGAGTGTTTGTGAGATGAAAACCTTCACTGATCATAATAAGAAATCAACATATAATCTCTAAAATGAATGAATCAAAATTTTGCAGACTAGATTTATTATTTAAATATATATAAGTATATATATGGGGAGAACAAGGGACTACAGTTTTTTGTTATTGGTATTTTTGCACTAATTGGCTGTTTACAAAAAATAATTTTAAAAATCTAAGACCCAACAGGGAGGCATATCTTAACTTTGGCAGGTTCCAAGGCACTTAAATTAAAAGAAAGTAAATTGTGATGAAATAAAAATACCTTGCCTTGATATTATGTGTTTTTACCTTTCAAAAATGCTTGCGATAACCACAGTAGCAATGAATACACATAATGCCCAAATTCTACTTTCTAAATGTCTTTTCTGACTAAAAGGAATCAGAGCTCTTTAGAGGAATGGCTGATTCCAGGGCTGGTGCAGGGAAGGTATAAGGTGAACTTTCTGTGCCAGACAGCAAGAACAGGCTCAGAGACTAATAGGGACACATAAAAAGGACCCAAAGCTAGTTTAAAGGGCTCCCCTGGCCACCATTAGGACAATTTGATCATTAAAAACACTAATGACTGTAACCTATTGTAAATCATTGAATAAATAAAATCCAAGGGTTCATAGTGGTTATCAAAAAAGAGAGAAAGAGAGAGAGAGGCACCTGGCTTGCTCAGTCAGTGGAGCATCCAACTCTTATCTCAGGACTGTAAGTTTGAGCCCCGTGTTGGGTGTAGAGATTACTTTAAAAAATAAAATCTTTGGAGCGCCTGAGTGGCTCAGTCGGTTAAGCATCTGACTCTTAATCTCAGTTCAGGTCTTGATCTCAGGGTCATGAGTTCAAGCCTCATGTTAGGCTCCATACTGGGTTTTGAGCCCACTTAAATAAAATCTTTTTAATTTAAAAGAAAAAGAAGAGAGAGAAAATAAAATTTTCGTGATAGCATTGGAGGTGACTATTATGTCAACCTATTCTGAAAATTGATAAAAAGGTAAGTATTTAGAAGGAATTGTAGTTCATCCTCCGTTGATGAAGGAAAGTTCTTCCTCTTCTTCTTTTTTTTTTTTGCAGTGTTTCTGAAACATGTTCTTGTGTTTTATTCACCTGCAATGAAACAGACATGGCTTTACTCACATAGTGTTCTGGCCATTATGTCTAACCTAAATGTGATCATGTCTTTAAACCTAACTTCCTGTATGCAGGAAAAAATAGGGGAGAGAGGAATGAGCTAAGTTAATGCTATGAGGAACCAACCAAATGAACCTAAAATGTATTCTACAAACTATCTAGTTCAGATATCTTTAAAAAGTCAGTATCTTGGATGGGGAGATTATTCTAGATTTAAAATGATTAAAGGATGGGGCACCTGGGTGGCTCAGTCCAACTCTTGATCTCAGCTCAGGTCTGGGCTCCACACTGGGCATAGAGCCTACTTAAAAAAATAAATAAATAAAATGACTAAAGGACGTAATAACTGAAGGCAATGTGTGAAAATTAATTGGATCCTGATTCAAGAAAACGGCTATAAAAGACATTTTGGGAGCACCTGGATGGCTCAGTTGTTAAGCATCTGCCTTCGGCTCAGGTCATGATCCTAAGGTCCTGGGATCGAGTCCTGCATTGGGCTCCTTTCCCAGCAGGGAGCCTGCTTCTCCCTCTGCCTGCTGCTCACCCCCTGCTTGTGCGCTTGCTCCCTCTCTCTCTGACAAATAAATAAATAAATAATCTTTAAAGACATTTTGGGGATCAATTGTGGAAATTTGAATATGGACTGGATATGAGGTGATATTAGGAAATAATTGTTAATTATTGGGTGTGATAATAGCATTGTGGTTATGTAGAAGAGTGTCCTTGTTTTTACAAGATGCGTGTTGAAGCATTTAGGGGGTGAAATGTCATAACGACTCTAACTCCGAAATGGTCCAGCAAAAAATGGTCCAGCAAAAAATGGCCAGCTAGATAAACAAACAGTACAAAATAGTAACAGTCATTGCATGTGGGTGTAGAGATTACATATATACATACGTAACTTTAAAAAAAAATAAATTATTTCACAGTAAAAAATTTTAGAAAAATCTAAGTTAGACCTAGACCAGTTGGAGAGACAGCTTCTAATTTTGGTGGGACCTAAAAACTCAGGGACTAAGAGAAAAGTAAATCTTGATAAAGTTACTTTTATTTAAATACTTTTATTATCTTGGTATTTCTTTTAGTGTGCAAGAATGCATTTAGAACTCCATCCCATACACTTTCTCAAGCTGGCAGACCATGTTTGTTGGTCTTCTCAACTGGCCTGAAAACTTCTGGGGGAAGGGACGGTTTTTGTGGTTTTGTCCCTGTTTAACTTTTCTCCAGTTTCTGCATACCCTGCTCCTCCCACCTATGGCTGGCATCCAAGGCCCACAGAGCTGCCCACACTAAATACCTCAGTCTCAATCATGGCACAGAGAGTGGCCCAGGGAGGAGGATGGGACACAGCTTCAGGGACTGATAGACCTAGAAGAGGAATTTATGGGCTGGGTGACGCATTTGGGCAAGTGTTTGACCTCAGGCAAGTCACACGGCCTCTGAGCCTCAGTTTCTTCTGCAAAATGGAGAGATACTAAAACTAACTTCTCCCCACAAAATGGCCAAGTGGATTGGTTCAGATGAGTCGGGCCTCCAAGCTCATCCAGAGCTTCAAAATGGGCCATGGGGGGCATGTGCCCAATTCTGCTGTCCTCTGTGTACAGGGCCGCCCTTGGACGAGGTAAAGGTTACTCAATCTGTCCTCTTCCATTCTCTCTTCACTTATCTCTGCAAATCGATTCAGGAGTAATCTGGTTAATATAAACAGCACCCATCTGGACTTGCCGGTCTTAATACTTATTCCCTAGGAGGCTGTAAGGAGGAGGCAGTAGAGCTCCTCATCCAGTGCCAGACTGCCTGGGTTCAAATTCCGGTTCCACCACTGACTGGCCCTCTGAGCTTGGGCAAGGCGTATCCTAATACACAGTATTATTATTAGAGGCCTGGAGCTGGAATATGTTAGCATTAGGGTTAGGGTTCAAATCCCAGGTCCACCATTTACTAGCTGGGTGACCTCATGCAAGATCCTTAACCTCTGTGTGCCTCAGTTACCCCCTCACCTGTACATGCGAATTGTATCAATAGCACCTTGCACACACGAGACCATCGGGGCAGATAGTAGGCGCTATCATTTGTTTCTTTGAAACAAAGTCATCTTTCCAGGTGTGGAGGTTGGCTAGGGGCGGAGGAGAAGATGCACCTGGCTGGCTTTTTTTTTTTTCTTTTTTCTTTTAAAGATTTTATTTATTTGACAGGGAGAGACATAGCGAGAGAGGGAACACAAGCAGGGGGAGTGGGAGAGGGAGAAGCAGGCCTCCGCGGGAGCCCGATGCGGGCCTCGATCCCAGGACCCTGGGACCATGACCTGAGCCGAAGGCAGACTGCTTAACGGCTGAGCCACCCAGGCGCCCCCCGGCTGGCTTTTTTTTTTTTTTTTTAAAGATTTTATTTATTTATTTGAGAGAGAGAGAATGAGATACAGAGAGCATGAGAGGGAGGAGGGTCAGAGGGAGAAGCAGACTCCCTGCCGAGCAGGGAGCCCGATGCGGGACTCGATCCCGGGACTCCAGGATCATGGCCTGAGCCGAGGGCAGTCGCTTAACCAACTGAGCCACCCAGGCGCCCCCCCGGCTGGCTTTTTAAACAAAGGGTGCTTGGCTCCCCTGCTCGCTCAACCTCCGGAAAGTCAGGAAGACCCGGGACCTGGCTCCCCGCCCCCGTTTGGCCCCGCCCCGCCCCGCCCCCACCTCACCTGGCCCCGCCCCGCCCCCCCCTCCTAGCCCTGCCCCTGCGCTAGTCTCGCGCACTTTTAGAGTGCGCGAGCTCGGGCGACCCGGGGCCGACGGTTGGTCGGGCGGAGCCATCTGTTACGCTACGTGGGGGGAGCCATCAGCCTAGGCTTCCTTATTTTTTCAACTTTTCGCTTTTCTGGTCCGGGTTCCTAGTCTTATTGTAGCCCTTAAATCCGCCCCGTTTGCTCAGCCTCCCAGCAGGGAGCGCTGCCTCTCTGGGGAGAAGGTCGTTGTGCCTCCGTGCGGCGTCCTTCCCCTCCTGACGCCGACCGGTGGGAGAGGACGACGGCCGGCGGGGGGAGGAGGCGGCCTTAGCGCCATTTTGTGGGAGCGAAGCGGTAGCTGGGCTGCTCTTGGATCCCTCGCTGCTTCGGTTTCCCTGTCGGAAGAGAAACCAGACCGGGCTTCCTAGCAGCGGCCTAGCGGGTGAGTCGTGGACGCTTCTCACCGAGGACGCCCTGGGCGTTCCGGCCCCCGCGTTGCGCGGCCCGAGGCGGACGCAGCGGGTTCCGCCTCCGCCCCGGGAAGGGAGCCGTGGGGCCGGGCCTGCCTCGTCCTGCCCGAGCGGGCTCGCGCGGGCGCGTCGTTAGGGCTTGGCGCGGGGTGGCAGCCGGCGCCGAAGCAGGGACGCTTGGCCCGCGGGGCCGTGCAGCCCGAGGCGGAGCTTTGGCCTGGCCTCCGGGCCCGGGCCATTGCCCTGGGCCCTCCGGCACTTGGCACGCCGGGGGACCCTGCCAGCCTAGGCCCCGGGTCCCCGCGTCTGCACCTCGGCCGCCACGCACTGGCTTCTGGGAGGTAGCGGCCCGCGTCGGGAAGGACCTGTGGTCGCTGTCCTTGGTCAACTTTGGAGACCCCCCCCCGGAAGTCCCACAATGAGGAACAGGGAGGAACTTTTTTCCTGCTCTCTTCACGTGGCTCAGTGCTTCTGTTCCTCCTCAGGACACAGCTTCTGCATCGCGTTCTTAGGGAAATGTGCTCTCATTCCCACACGCGTCTCAGCTTAGGTTCTCCTCGGCCCCCAAGATGATTGACTTCTTCCTAGTAGCCTGTATCATGGTTGTAATAAATAAATGGCTTGTTTGCTCTCATCTCTGCGTCCCCCCCGCCCCCCGCGCCCCTTGTAGCCGGCATGCCCCCCGGGACTGACGGGTTGCAGCATCTGATGCATAGTAGGCACTCAGCAAGTGTTTAGGGCAGGAATGAACTAGCAAGGCACTATCCTTGCCGTTATCTCATTTCAGTGATAACCAACACCTATAAGAACCCCAACCCCAAAGTTGTTCTAGAAGTCCTAGAAGATTGACATGGTAGTGTTTATTAATCAGGTGATGTTAAGGAAGCAGTTACTTTGACACGAGTGTTCGTCATTAATATTTCTTTTTCCTTTAAGAGAAATAAGAAAAGATGTCTGAATATATTCGGGTAACGGAAGATGAGAATGACGAGCCTATTGAAATACCATCAGAAGACGACGGGACAGTGCTGCTGTCCACGGTTACAGCCCAGTTTCCCGGGGCGTGTGGACTGCGCTACAGGAATCCAGTGTCCCAGTGTATGAGAGGTGTCCGGCTGGTGGAAGGAATTCTGCATGCCCCCGATGCCGGCTGGGGAAATCTGGTATATGTTGTCAACTATCCCAAAGGTGTGTTGCCCTTTGCTTTTGCAGTACTAAAGCATAGTCGTGTTTGTGTCTCCTGAGTTGGATCATGGCCTCATTTCACGGCGTCTCCTGTAACACAAGTATTTCTTTAAACGTTGCTAATAGACTAGTTTGGAACGCCACTACTCTAAATTAGTAAAAATTGGAAATACAGAACATTTTTTAAAGAAAAAACTATGTACTTAATTATTTGAACAAGTGTTGCCAACTTAATGCCAAATTTAAGGAACAGCTAAGAATGTTTTGCAGTGATCAGTCTGTGGTAAATAGATTCTTTTTAAAGTGCCCGATATTTTGTTCTGGTTCCTTACAGGCTTATATCATTCATTCAGTTAATCTGATTTTTCCGTCCTTAAATGATTATCAGTTGCAGTAACCCAAATCTTGAATTAGTGCAATTGTAATTTGGGGTTTTGGTCTTATTCTCACTGCCACTTATCCCTGATGTTCTAAATCTTAAAAAAGGAAACATGAAGTTTGTGGAGGAAACAGGTACATTTTATCAATAAGAATTTACTTTAGTTGATATATCTTTGTTACTTTTATTACAACTCGATGTTGCAACAAAGTATTGTAGTTGGTTAGTATGCAAGACGTTGACTTAAACTTTGAGAACATTTTTAACAGCATCAACTTGGTTTTTCTTTAGTATGCTGTTACCCAAATCTAAAATGTCATTTAGATGATGATATGTCGATGTAGGTTCATCAGTTGTAACAAGTGTACCATCTTGGATGGGGCAGGAATATCATGATAATGGGGGAAGCTATGCACCTGTAGAGGTAAAAGGAGGGTATGGGAAATCTCTGCCTTTCTTTCCATTTTGCTGGGGACCTAAAACTGCTCTAAAAAATAAAGTCTGGGCGCGTCTGGGTGGCTCAGTCAGTTGGGCGTCTGCCTTCAGCTTGGGTTGTGATCTCGGGGTCCTGGGATTGAGCCCCACATCAGGCTCTCTGCCCAGTTGAGCGTCTGCTTCTCCCTCTCACTCTCCCTCTGTGCGCGTGCGCTCTCAAAAAATAAATGAGAAATTTTTTAAATAAAATTTAAAAAATCTATTTTTTAAAATGTCATTTAGTTCCTCCTCCTCCCTTCCAAATACTGTTTTTTAAAAATAACCCAAGACTTTCTTTTTAATGACAAAATCAACATGAGTTCATGGTTGAAAGTTTAGAAAAGAAAGAAAAAGAAAATTGAAATCACCCTTAAATCCACAGCTGGAGATAAAAGTTTGATCACTTTTTGGTATATAACTTTTAAGTTACGGACATTAAAATAATTAAGCAAATCTATTTAATAGGCACAAAGATAGTACAGCACGGTTTTTTAGCCTGTTTTCTTTTTTTCCTTACTGGTTTTTTTTTTTTTTTTTTTAAGATTTTATTTATTTATTTGACAGACACAGCGAGAGAGGAAACACAAGCAGGGGGAGCAGGAGAAGGAGAAGCAGGCTTCCCGCTGAGCAGGGAGCCTGATGCGGGGCTCGATCCCAGGACCCTGGGATCATGACCTGAGCCGAAGGCAGACGCTTAACGACTGAGCCACCCAGGCGCCCCTCCTTACTATGTTTTTAAAGTCGAAGTGAAGTAGAATTATTTTTGTTTTTGATGTACCTTTTGAGAGGGAAGAACAAACCATCATAATCTTGAGATCTCACAAAACCAGAGGTGGGAATCCCGGCCATTGCACCAGAAAGCCCCTCAGCCACTTCCTCAGTCCCTCCGTCTGTCTTTGAGAGCTGACCTCTCTCTTTGCCAAAAGTTTTCAGTATCTTATTCTTAGAATCTTTGTGCTTATCGTTGTTAGATGTAGGGGCTAATGTGTTTTAAGACCTGTTAAGTGAGGAGTTTTGAAAGGTTTCTGCTCATTTTGTTTAGATAACAAAAGAAAAATGGATGAGACAGATGCTTCATCAGCAGTGAAAGTGAAAAGAGCTGTCCAGAAAACGTCTGATTTAATAGTGTTGGGTCTTCCATGGAAAACGACTGAACAGGATCTAAAAGAATATTTTAGTACCTTTGGAGAAGTTCTTATGGTTCAGGTAAACTTTGATTTCATATTAACGATTTTTTTCTTCCCATAAATGAACATCCAGAATTCCTGTAGTTTGGTAACACTGCCCTTCATGCTCAGCAGACGGTATTTTTAATATTTATTACGTGCATGCATTAGGGGATGCTGAAAAGAAATTTGGGTTGGGGTGCCTGGCGGGCTCAGTGGGTAGAGTACACAACTCTTTTTTTTTTTTTTTTTTAAAGACACATTTATTCAGCGTCATGATCAGACTATTACATTTAGCAATCAACAGCATGGGTGCAAAAAAAAAAAAAAATCTACATTAAAACCCTTTGTTGGAATGCTTTACACTTTCCACAGAACAGAAACTAAAATAACCTGTTATACAATTAGTCACAAATACAGTCCTCGAGTTTTTTGCCCATACACATGAGTATTGGCTAAAACATGTCTTCTTTGTAGCAGCTAGGCCCTGCCACCACTGTGCTTGGCTGAGTTCACAAATCTGTTGTAACCTGTAGCTTCCCTGTCACTTCTCTGGCTCTCCTCACCTGCTAAGCTTTGTTTCCTGGCAGTAATTAAAACCTTCTGCCACTGCCGTAGCTCCTGCTGCTGCTGGAACCGCCACAGCCACCTTGGTTTCGTGGTTTGGCAAAGTATTGGCCTCCACCACCATAGGGGCCAGAGCTTCTGCCTCCAAAATTTCCTCCTTTCGTGGGTCCAAGATTTGAGGATTGATTGTTGTAATTGCCAAAATCATTATAGCTTCCGCCACCTCCAAAGTTGCTTCCATCATTACCAAATCCGTTATAGCCATCCCCACTGCCACCATATCCACCACCACCTCGACTGCCACCAAAGCCACCTCGACCACTGAAGTTCCCTCCACGACCAAAGTTGTCATTCCCACCAAACCACCTCCACGACCACCACCAAAGTTTCCAGAACCACTTTGACCTCTTTGGCTGGATGAAGCACTAACCATCTCTTGCTTAGATAGGGCTTTCCTTACTTCACAGTTGTGGCCATTCACAGTATGGTATTTTTGAATGACAATCTTGTCTACAGAGTCACGGTCATCAAATGTTACAAAAGCAAAACCTCTCTTTTTGCCACTGCCCTGGTCAGTCATGATCTTGATCACTTCAATTTTCCCATACTGTTCAAAATAATCTCTTAGATGATGTTCTTCAGTGTCTTCTTTAATGCCACCAACAAAAATCTTTTTCACAGTTAAGTGGGCACCAGGTCTTTGAGAATCTTCTCTTGAGACAGCCCTCTTTGGTTCCACAACTCTCCCATCCACCTTGTGTGGCCTTGCGTTCATGGCTGCATCCACCTCCTCCACAGTGGCATACGTGACAAACCCAAAGCCTCTGGAGCGCTTGGTGTTTGGATCTCTCTATTACCACACAGTCCTTAAGCATTCCCCATTGCTCAAAATGGCTCCTCAGACTCTCATCGGTTGTTTCAAAGCTCAAACCTCCGATGAAGAGCTTCCGCAGCTGTTCAGGCTCTTTGGGAGACTCTGACTTAGACATGACGGTGGTGGGAGGGGAGACTTTAACGATGCTTACTCGGCGGCGTCCACGGGCAGAAAGCGAGTACACAACTCTTGATCTCAGAGTCGTGAGTTCAAGCCCTATGTTGAGCCTAGAGCCTACTTAAACAAAAACAAAATTTGGGTTGTACTGTTTCTCTTTATGCATATAACCTATGTTTTTGCCTTTGACGTTATAAAATGCTGCATAAAAGCTTAAGGGAAGGTGGTGACATTAGTCTATTTCTTTTTTTATTTTTTTTTAAGATTTTATTTTATTTACGTTATTTCTTAACGACTGAGCCACCCAGGCGCTCCATAGCCTATTTCTTTATAACATATCACTGGGAGATTTAAAAACACTTATTTTTAAAAGGGGGGGGCAGTTGGCTGGCTCATTCGGGGGATCATGTGACTCTTGATCTCAGGGTTGTAAGTTGGAACCCCACATTGGGTGTAGAGATTACTAAAATAAATAACTAAAAAGAAAAACACTGGGGGCACTTGGGTGGCTCAGTCGTTAAGCGTCTGCCTTCGGCTCAGGTCATGATCCCAGGGTCCTGGGATCGAGCCCCGCATCGGGCTCCCTGCTCGGCTGGAGGCCTGCTTCTCCCTCTCCCACTCCCCCTGCTTCTGCTCCCTCTCTCGCTGTATCTCTGTCAAATAAATAAATAAAATCTTAAAAAAAAAAAAAGAATAACTTGGTTTAAGTTTTAATTAAGCAGTTCCATCGAAGTAAAGCCATTCAAATTACTCAGGAACTGATTTGGATGTGTGTGTGTTTCTAGTAAATTTCATTGTTTTTTTCCCCCCCCCCCCAGGTCAAGAAAGATATTAAAACTGGCCATTCAAAGGGGTTTGGCTTTGTTCGTTTTACGGAATATGAAACCCAGGTTAAAGTAATGTCACAGCGACATATGATAGATGGACGGTGGTGTGACTGTAAACTTCCTAATTCTAAGGTACTTTGCTCTTTTTTCCTGTGCTTTGGGAATTTTTGCTGACAAACTCCCTTAGAAGACACCGTAAAATAACACATAAAATGCACTCTTAAAAGGTGGTGGCTGGTGAATTCCTGAAACCTTTTGCCTTGTTAAAGCCTTAGGACCTTCATGCGTGCTGAATATTTTGTTTGTTTGAAATCTTTAGTTTATTACCTCTCTAAACTAAAAGCTGGTTCGTTTTATTCTTTTCTTTTGTTATTTCTACTGAGTGGAGAGTTTCTTATGTAGTTACAGGTTTAAAACACAAGGACAATGAGAATACATTAATCTTGTCACGAAAGCCTGACTGGTTCCAAGCAAGCAAGACTGACTTGGAGAGTTTGCCTCTTTGCCAGGGTGTTTCTATCATTGACTGTCCTTAATCCAAATACAGTCTTTTTTTTTTTTTTTTTTTAAGATTTTATTTATTTATTTGATAGAGACACAGAGAGAGAGGGAACACAAGCAGGGGGAGTGGGAGAGGGAGAAGCAGGCTTCCCGCCGAGCAGGGCGCCCGATGCGGGGCTCAGTCCCAGGACCCGAAGGCAGACGCTTAACGACTGAGCCACCCAGGTGCCCCCAGATACACAGTCTTGAACTTTAAACTTTAAAATGTGGGAGCGCCTGGCAGGCTCAGTCGGTAGAGTGTGTGACTCCTGATCTCGGAGTTGTGAGTTCAAGCCCCATGCTGGGTGTAGCGAGAACTTAAAAATTAGATCTTTAAAAAAGAAAATGTTATTTTTCACTGTTCTTAAAGAGCAGTGCTAATGCAGAAAACTAAGAATGTACCTCCTTTTTAATGACTAACAGAAAAGGCAGGTAACTTTTGTTATATCTGCTATCATAATGCTCTTTTCATGCTTGTAAAATATTTCTCATGTTTTTCTTTTCTTTCCATCCGCCCAGCAAAGCCCAGATGAGCCTCTGAGAAGCAGGAAGGTGTTCGTCGGGCGCTGTACAGAGGACATGACCGCTGATGAGCTGCGTCAGTTCTTCTGCCAGTACGGAGAAGTGGTAGATGTCTTCATTCCCAAACCGTTCCGGGCCTTTGCCTTTGTTACCTTTGCAGATGATCAGGTATTTTTGTCTTGAATAATTTTGTCCCAGCTCTGTTAGGTAATTTGTCTTGAACTTCTCCCACCCAGCTAATTGCCATCCTTAGCCAAGCTTTCTGACCTTGTGAGCTGTGGGATATATGGGTCTAGATAGTCGTGGTAATCCCTTGATTTTTTCAGTATGTGGCACTGACCTGGGAGTGTTCTATGTGTTGAAAATAAGCTGACAAATCCCTGCCGCCTTACTAGAGCTAAAGGCGATTTTATGGGTTTAAATGAAACGAGCGTTCATTGCTTGTTTTTCCTCCAGCTTAGACAGTGGCTTGAAATCTTAAGTGTTATTGCTACTTTGATGCGTGAGTCAGTGGTTTAATCTCCTTTATTTACACCCCTTATTTCTTATAGGTTGCCCAGTCTCTTTGTGGAGAGGACTTGATCATTAAAGGAATCAGCGTACATATATCCAATGCTGAACCTAAGCACAATAGCAATAGACAGTTAGAAAGAAGTGGAAGATTTGGTGGTAATCCAGGTGGCTTTGGGAATCAGGGTGGGTTTGGTAACAGTCGAGGGGGTGGAGCTGGCTTGGGAAACAATCAGGGTAGTAATATGGGTGGAGGGATGAACTTTGGCGCCTTTAGCATCAATCCGGCGATGATGGCTGCAGCCCAGGCAGCGCTGCAGAGCAGCTGGGGCATGATGGGCATGTTAGCCAGTCAGCAGAACCAGTCGGGCCCATCAGGTAACAACCAGAGCCAAGGCAACATGCAGAGGGAGCCAAATCAGGCCTTTGGTTCTGGAAATAACTCCTATAGCGGTTCTAATTCAGGTGCAGCAATTGGTTGGGGATCTGCATCAAACGCAGGGTCTGGCAGCGGTTTTAATGGAGGGTTCGGCTCAAGCATGGATTCTAAATCTTCTGGCTGGGGGATGTAGACAGTGGGGTTGGTAGAGACTGGTGGGAATTCAAATTTTTCTAAACACATGGTAAGTATATTGTAAAATACATATGTACTAAGAATTTTCAAAATTGGTTTGTTCAGTGTGGAGTATATTCAGCAGTATTTTTGACATTTTTCTTTAGAAAAAGAGGAAAAGCTAAAGGAATTTTATAAGTTTTGTTACACAAAGGGTTGAAATATTGAGTGTTTGAAAGTGAACTGCTGTTTGCCTGATGGGTAAAAACCAACACACTACAATTGATATCAAAAGGTTTCTCCTGTAATCTTTTATCCCTGGACTTGTCAAGTGAATTCTTTGCATGTTCAAATGGAAACCATTGATTAGAACTACATTCTTTCCTCCTCGTTTTAATTTGAACCCCACCATATGGATTTCTCCCTTAGGAAAATCTCCTTTTTGGAGATCATGGTGTCACAGTGTTTGGTTCTTTTGTTTTTGTTTTGTTTTTTTTAACACTTGTCTCCCTTCACATGCAAAAGTACAATACGAAGCCTTCATTTAATCTCTGCAGTTCATCTCATTTCAAATGTTTATGGAAGAAGCACTTCATTGAAAGTAGTGCTGTAAATGTTCTGCCATAGGAATACTTCTGTCTGCACGCTTTCTCATTCAAGAACTCGTCAGCACGCTGCACAGGCTGCGTCTTTGACGGTGGGTGTCCCATTTTTATCCGCTACTCTTTATTTCATGGAGTCGTATCAACGCTATGAACGCAAGGCTGTGATATGGAACCAGAAGGCTGTTTGAACTTTTGAAACCTTGTGTGGGATTGATGGTGGTGCCGAGGCATGAAAGGCTAGTATGAGCGAGAAAAGGAGAGAGCGCGTGCAGAGACTTGGTGGTGCATAATGGATATTTTTTAACTTGGCGAGATGTGTCTCTCAATCCTGTGGCTTTGGTGAGAGAGTGTGCAGAGAGCAATGATAGCAAATAATGTACGAATGTTTTTTGCATTCAAAGGACATCCACATCTGTGGGAAGACTTTAAGTGAGTTCTGTTGTTAGGTGACCCGCGTTAGCTGAATGTGTTAAGTGACACGATACTTGTACCTCCCCCGCCCCTTTGTCAACGGCTGTGAATGCTGTATGGTGTGTGCCCTCTCCTGTTACTGACCTGTAAGTGTGCTCATGTGAACTGAAGCTGGTGGCTTGAGAACATGGACGGAGCTTGTGGCGTGCTTTGCAGGAGTACGTGGAAGCAGAGTTCACCAGTGAGCTCGGGGTGTCGCAAAGAAGGGTGGAGGTTCCTCTGTCTGTTAGCCGCCCATGAGAATGCTGTCTGATGCAGTTCTGTGTCCTGTGCTTGGATGCTTTTTATAAGAGTTGTCAACGTTGGAAATTCTTAAATAAAACTGATTTAAATAATATGTGTCTTTGTTTTGCAGCCCTGAATGCAAAGAATTCATAGCAGTTAATTCCCCTTTTTTGACCCTTTTGAGATGGAACTTTCATAAAGTTTCTTGGCAATAGTTTATTTTGCTTCAAATAAACTTATTTGAAAAGTTGTCTCAAGTCAAATGGATTCATCACCTGTCATGCATTGACACCTGATACCCAGACTTAATTGCTATTTGTTCTTGCATTGTCCAAAGTGAAAGTGTTTTTGTTTTTTTTTTTTTCTTTTTAAATCTAGTTTTTAATAAGTCTGGGTGACCGCACCTAAAATGGTAAGCAGTACCCTCCAGCTTCTTATTAGTGCCTCTGTGCATTTGGGTGATGTTCTATTTACATGGCCTGTATAAATCTCCATTGGGAATCATGCCTTCTAAAAATATTTGGGCGAGTGGGAAAAACAATGTTAATTATTTTCAAATGCTTTGTAGCAAAGCATAGTCAAAAAGAAGGGAATATCAGCACCTCTTTCTGGTTCGGGATTTGAAAAGTGGAATTAATTGCGGTAGGGATAAAGTAGAAGAAACCACAAATTATCTTGTGCCTGAATCCATTACAAAGCCTGATAGCTTTAAGAACTAGCAGGGTGGGTTGTCTGTCTGGAAGTGTTAAGTGAAATGGGCTTTGTCCTCCACAAGTGGGGGAATAGAGTAATGTTGAATAAAATCGTTTACAAACTCAGATTAGACTCTCACGACGCATTGTGAAGTATGTAAAAGCAATAATCTGTTGATTCTCTGTTGTACTTTTGATGTAACTACTGTGAGGGTTGAGCTTGTTTTCTGATGGAAGAATGAACAGTTTTTGTGTTGGTAGTTTTACCTGATGCCCTTATCTGATTAGATTATGATAAATAGGTTGGTTTGTCATTTTGCAAGTTACGTGTTTTAACTTGTAGAAATGAAGTCGTCCTTTAGACTTGTGATCGCCACGTTGTTTCGTTATTCAGTTTCCTCTGTAAAAGGATCTTGCGTTGTTTTAATTTTTTTTCTGCATCTAAGTTGCATGATTTCCAAACCCTGTACCATCTGAATTTTGCATTTTAGCACTTGCACTATTACTCAGCAGCAGTAACATGGTAACACTTAAAATGGTATTCGGGGACCTCCAAAGACTAAACTGACAAGCCTCCAAGGAGCCCGGGGTAAGTTCACTTGTCAATGGCATGGTTTTAATCCCTTATTTACACTTGTTGTAAACCCGTCTTAGAAGGCTTTCAGTGTGGAGCAGCCTTCTGTTAACATGTTCGCGGCACCAGTAGCTGCGGGTATTTAATTCCACCCTAAAAAAAGAAAAAAAAGAAAAAAAAATGAAGTCTAGAAGTAAACCATTTCGCAGAGATTTGTTTTTAAAAGTCTATTTGGTCATCTCAATGCATTCATTCTCAAAACTTTTTTGAACCAGTTGAATAAAAAATTTGTTGCCACCACAGTTTAGTGTCTGGAGTCTTACTGGAAAAATACAATTTCTTTTTTGTATGTGACAAAGGTGATGGAAAGATACCTTTAAAAAGGGAGTCTCAAGAAGTTCCCCTTTAACGTGCACAAGAGAAATCGGGCCAAAACTCACAATGAATTTTTACATGAGTGATGATGATTTGGCTAGAATGAAACCCTTTGTTAAATGTGAACCTATTAGAACTTCTTAAGGAGGAACAGCCAACGAAAATGACATGAGATTTTTAAGGTTAAGTCGGCTTAAATTGTGTCCTTAGGAGAAGGAAGATGTATGTGATAATTAGAATAATTTGTTGTTGAGTACTAGGTGAGTAGCTCTTACTTGTGTATGAGTTCTACACTCAGCTATTGTATGATTTGTGATCCGTTGTTCGTTAAGTGTGCCCAAGTATTTCCATGTTTGTTGTAAGAAGGAAGAAAACACTATAGATTTATCTATAATAACACCACTTAATTCTAATATATTTCTTCTTAAGGAAATGGCACATTCGATTCAGCGCTTTTCTGTATGTGGACATTATTTAGTCTATTTTCAAGTGCCAGGAACATCCTCACAGCTAAAATAAATTCTTAACATTGGAATTACTAGGTCAAAGACTATGCATGCTCTCAAGGCTTTCCAAATACATTGCCAGATTGTCCTTTAGAAAATGTGTGTTGTCTTTGACAGTGTGAAATAGTGCTATTCCATGTTCTTTTTGTCTGCCAATTTGATAAGTGAAAAATTAGGTCTCACCAATCTGTGGTATTGGTTTTTAAACATGGGAGTCAGCCAGCACCTAAGCCAAAGTTATCGATGTGTCCAGTTTATTTGCTAAAAAATCATGATTCAGTGTTATCCCTGAGCCAGTATTGCTATAATATATAAAGCTGTGTTAGAGATCAGTAAGAACAAGCCCCCCCTTGGTGGAATAGTCGTCAGAGAACATGAACAGGCAATTCGTAGGAATATAGATAACCATTACAAAATGTACTGGACTTTGTAAGTAATTAAACGCAGATTTAACCAGCGAGTTTCTGTTGGATTGGCAAAGGTGATCCCACCTAATTGTCTGTGTCCCCTTGAATCAAAGAGTAAGAGGCGAAAAACCTGGCGAGTGAGAAGCTCCCGGAATGGGTCTGACCCATGGTGTGGCGGTGGGTTGGGGGTTAGAGCGACAACTGATGTGTTCGTGTCTCTCAGGCCACATGGCTGCTAAGACCTTTTACAGGAATTTTTAAAACTAAGGAATCATTGAAGACCTACAAATTAAAAATTGTTAATTATGTTCTTGATCCAGGGAATATAGTTAATAACTTTGGTGTAGACTCCATACTGATTTGCTTCCCCACAATTAAAGGAACCCCAGGACACTATTCCTCCCACAAACCATCTCTGTGTCTCATTATCTTGAAACACTAACGCCCCCCCACTGTCCCCTCTACAGCTGTCCTTGCCCCCACCTTCTAAGCCAGCACAAAACATGTTCTCCGTTACCCTCCCCCCTGGATAGGAGTGCTTCTCATACGCAGCAGTACGTTTCTGATGGTCGACCATTGGTATGTCGACAAACATTAGATTTCTGGCAAGAAAACCCCTCTGGGTTAATCCCCATCCAGATGCGGTCCCAATGTCATTTGTCCTCATGAAGGATTCAGCTTCCTTTCCTGGCAAACAGATAGGCAGGATGTTACTATTGATTACAACTCTGTTCTTCAATTTAATCAGTGCTATGTCGTTATCAAAACCAGCATCATGAGTATAACCTTCATGTATAAAAATGGCCTCGGCCCAGGCTTGTGTGTAATGAGCCGACAGTCTCTTCACGGTACCCATTCTGATGTCTAAGGAGGAGGCAGCTTCTTTCTGCGCGTATACAGCGTGAGCAGCTGTTAGGATCCAGCCGTCCTGCAGGAGTGCGCCCGCTGCTGTAGCTTGACCTAGTAACAGGACTTGCCAGGGGAAATCACCAAGCTTCGCCTTCTGCCCTCCGTATATACGACCTCCTATGGTACGAGTTGATATTCCACAAACTGGGGAAAGAAGCAGAGCCTTTATAGAAACCCCGCGGTGGTTTTTCCCACAATTATTACCACTTTGGAATTGTGTCTGATGTCATCCAAAAGTTACCTCGGGTTGATGGGGCGCCCACCTAAACAGGTGAGGCTGCTTTTTAAAACACAGTTCAAAGACCCGATAAAACCTCTTGGTAAAAATGAGGTGAGTGAAAATTAACATTTAGAAACTAATTTGTTTTGCTAAAATAATTTGGTCTACACGATCGGGAAAATTAATAGGGCAAACAGGAATTGTATGAGCTGATGTACTGGGTGATGTGATTAGAAAGTGAAAGGAAATGACCTTTTCATTGCTTATTTTCCTACTTGTAAAATGGGGTATTTTCCATGTAGTTCTGGGAAAGCAGGAACTAAGGTCACTACCCCAGGATTTGCAAAATTCGTTTCACCTTTGAACATACAAATGTTTTAAAAATCAGGATGTTGCAGTTGTAGCCAGGAACCTTCAGGTTCAGGAATTTTTTGGTCTAGTTGAGGCTTCCAAACTAAATTTACTGTGTATGGCTAACAATGTGCTCATTAATGTAGCAGCTATGCCTCCTGTTGTGTCAGAATACTGGCATTAAAACTTAAAATGTTGTGTCAGCTAAGATACCTTTTTTTTTTAAGCCAAATAACAAAGGAGTAATGAATATATTACCACCTTTCTTATTTTTTTAATCACTGTACTCAACTTTATCTTTAGAGCCAATTCTGGTAAAAAAAATTTTTTTTGAGTACTATTAAAAGGCAAATTGCATTAATGTTTAAAAACTAGATGTCACTGAAAACAATTGCTTAGGGAAATAATGAAGTTATTAGCTTTGGGGTTTTAATAGTTACACAGAGAAAAGTAACTCCGCAGCAGAACTTGTGTTTATAAATGTATAAATGGTTCAAGATAATTTTTAAAATAATTTTTTATGCTTGCCTGGTTATAAGGTCAGATATAATCAAGTGACTGATAAAGTCAGCACCTAGCAACCTCTCCGACCAGAAAGGGGGTGATAAGAACGTAGTATTTGGAAATAACAACTTGGTGTAAGAACCAAGTGCTGAAGTTCCATTTCTGCCCACCACAGCTAAAGCTCCGCTGATGTCTCCCACCCAGTTCTACTTCCATCAATAAGAATCTCCTGTATAAATGTATCCATTACCAGGCTCACAGACTGGGAGTGATGTTTCTCCTTTGGAGCTCGTCCAGAATCCATCAGCCTCACACACATATTTACCTGCAAATCATTGGAAAAGCAAAAATGTTTAACTGCATGTATAAGGTGGTTGTCATTTGCTTGAATACCCCCTTGAAAAATGTTGATTCTTGAGCATCAGTGGGAAGTAGAGGTGTCTGAATAACCATTTTACATGATTTCATGAATAGGAGGTCTCTGCATTAACCATGTTTGCTTGCAAAGTGGAAACCTTTTAGATGTGTAACTTGAATATGTATCAAGATCTCAAGTGCTTAATGATAAGGTTTTGACTTGTTAAATTAAACCATTTGGAATATATTGTGTGTTTGTAGTAGTCATTTACTAGAGAAGATCTGTTTTCAGATTCCTGCAAATTGACATTAAAAGTCACTTAAGCTGTAATATTTCACTTAGCGGGTGGAAGAAGTGCCTTTTAATCTTTTGTGTAGCCTTAGCCAAAAATGTCGGCTCAAGTTTAGTTTCAGATCATGAGGGCTTTGGTTCCAAATATCACGCACCGCCAACTTTGAAGTTTGCTTACCGTCATCAGGTGTCATTGTGTAGAACTCATCACAGCGGTACTGAATCACCGCTTTGTACGTGGTCACTTCAGGGCCTGTGATGGACTCCGCTTGGCCGCTGGGTAGGTCATCAGGAGGGCCACAGTCAACAACTAGTGAACATGGGGGGAGGACAGTAAAAAGACAAGACTGACAGGTGGTTGTGCGCGGGGTGCTGGAGCTCGAAGCCATATTCATCCCACCCCGTGCGGTGGACATCCTCCATCTCTCTCAAGAGGGAATTGCCTTAGTGTGATTTTTTTTTAAAGATTTTTATTTATTTATTTGACAGCGAGAGCAGGAACACAAGCAGGGGGAGTGGGAGAGGGAGAAGCAGGCTTCCTGCCGAGCAGGGAACCCGATGTGGGGCTCCATCCCGGGACCCTGGGATCATGACCTGAGCTGAAGGCAGACGCTTAACCATCTGAGCCACCCAGGCGCCCGCCTTAGTGTGATTTTAAAGACAACCACTCCTTCCTGTTCTGAACTAAATGGCTCGAGTGAGGTGAGGCCCCTGGGGTAGGAGCCCTGTGATTCCTTTCATAAAGGAAGGGAGTTTGAAACCACTTGGGCTCCTTAGCGCTTTTTTTTTTTTTTTTTTTTTAAGATTTTACTTATTTGAGGGGCGCCTGGGTGGCTCAGATGGTTAAGTGTCTGCCTTCGGCTCAGGTCATGATCCCAGGGTCCTGGGATCGAGCCCCGCGTCGGGCTCCTGGCTCGGTGGGGAGCCTGCTTCTCCCTCTCCGTCTGCCTCTCACCCTGCTCATGCTCTCTTGTCTGTATCTCTGTGTCTCAAATGAATAAATAAAATCTTTAAAAAAAAAAAAAAAAAGATTTTACTTATTTGAGAGAGAGCACAAGCAGGGGGAAGAGGGAAGAAGCCGCAAGCAGCCGCTCGGAGGGAAGAACCGGGCCAGGCTGCACGTGCCTGCCTGGGCTGGATCCCCAGAAAATGGTCCTCGGTTTGCAGTTCGGTTGGCCTTAAAGGTCAAAGAACAACACAAAGAAGGACTTGGCTGCTTCTTAGGTTCCTTTTCAAAAATGTGTAGGGGACCCGGAAGTCATAATACCTTGACTTTGCATTAAAATGCACACCTGTGGGGACATAATTAAGGTGAAATAACTGCCCAGTTTAGGAGCCCAAGTGCAGTCTAGAAGTCTGGTTCCCACAGAAGAGCTAAAATTCGATGGATTTCTCTGGATATTTTAAAAGGTTACATTTAAGCCGTTTTCCGCAACTTCACAGCTGTGTGCCTGGTTCTGTGCCAAGTGCTGTCCACTTCTCCGTGGAGATGCCCACACCCAACTCGCTTAATTAAAGTGGCCCGGCTGGGGTTCAAATCCAGACCTCTCACTCCTCCCAGCTCTGCTGCTTTTGAGACAGAGAGAATGAGAGACAGAGCATGAGAGGGAGGAGGGTCAGAGGGAGAAGCAGACTCCCCGCCGAGCAGGGAGCCCGATGCGGGACTCGATCCCGGGACTCCAGGATCATGACCTGAGCCGAAGGCAGTCGCTTAACCAACTGAGCCACCCAGGCGCCCCCCAGCTCTGCTGCTTTTGAACTAAGGATTGACAGTCTCATTGGTGGGAATGTAAATTTATGAAATGAAAATATTTAAATTCCCTAGGAATTCTGTGGAGAAACGTTTGCACGCAGTATGCACAAATATATTTACAGGGGCGTTCACTACGGCAGTGTATGTAATAGTTAAAATCTGGGAGCACTGCGGTGGGGGCTCCATGCTGTCGTTAACAAGGATGAGTGAGCAGCTCTGCTACTACTTGGATTGATGTGGAAAGAGATCCCGACGACGTGGAGGGAAAGAGCGCAGTGCGATCAGACTTAGTACCCCATTTTGGTTAAAAAGTATGTAATAGCGGGGGTGCCTGGGTGGCTCAGTGGGTGAAGCGTCTGCCTTCAGCTCTGGTCATGATCCCCGGGTCCTGGGATTGAGTCCTATGTTGGGCTCCCTGCTCAGCCAGAGGCCTACTTCTCCCTCTGCCCCTCCCCCTGCTTGTGCTCTTGGTGTCTGTTAAATGAATAAATTTTTTTTTAAAATCCTAAAAAAAGGTAATTTTAAAAAAGTATATAATAGTGAAATCCCTTCATGTATACAGCATAGGAATGAAGGAATGGGCCCTAAACCCTCAGCAGTAGTTTGGGGATTTGGGCAAGAGGGGTTCTCACTATGTTTTTGTAAATTTATTTTTTCTAATTAACATGTATTTTATAATTGAAAAAATATTTAAAATAAGATGTGATGCTTACAAAATGGTAATGTACCCCCTCACCCCAGTTTGGTGTGTGTGTACACACGTGTGAGAGACGTGTGCGATTGGAGGGATGTCATAACAGTGGGATTGTGCGAATTAAAAGGTCTCATTTTCTCTTTCCCATCCTCAATGAATATTTTACACCTGGAAAAAGATTTTTAAATATCATGCTTTTCCAAAGGAAATACTTTTCCTGGTAGCTTGGTTCCGTTTGAACCTGTAAGTGCACAGAGAGGCTGGGGAAGAGAAGCGACTTTGAAATTCAGTTCCTGATAAGGAGACCGTTTCAGAAAACACCAGAAGCAGTGATCAAAGCAGGCAAAGCAGCAGAAGCCGCCCCAGGACCCATGGTCACGTGGACTTACTGCTGCACGTGGGCATCGGCTGGTCCCAAGATCCATCTTTCTGACAGACGGCAGCAAATGATTTCAGGGGCAAATCACCCTAAAGAAGAATTCAGCAAATATTACTTACCTTGTTTATATCATGACGCCGCGCCCCAAGGCTGAGCTCCTACACCCGTTCCTCTGGGGGGGGGTTCGGGAGGTGCCCGGCGTGGGGTGCCACACCCACATGACTGGACACACCCCAGTAGCTCTGCGGGGTTTGTTCCCTACGGGATGATCTCCTCTTTCAAGATGTATTTGGCACTAAATGTGCGCCTCTGCAGCAGTTTATGAATATTTCTTGCTTTCCCCTTAAATCCAAGGACACATCAGATCTCACAAGTTCCTGCTGATTTCCCACCAGTTCTTTATATAAAGTGCCAAAGGGGGGTGGTCGGAATCTGGGGAAGGCCAACCTGCTCCAACACAGAGCGGGTGTGCCTGGATTTTTCTAGCCTGTGGCCATTAGCTGCAGGACAGTTATTAAAAATACTTCGATAAGCTTCACATGTGTATTCTCAGTTTTTACTGCTAGTATTGTTTACGGAGAAACATTTTTCTAAAGTTTATGAAAGATCACTTTGGCAGAAGAAGCCTTTATGCTTAAAAGGAGAGAAGGAAGATTTTTTAATTTTTTCTTTCTTTTTTTTTTTCAGATCAGAAACTGAAGAGGTTTGCAGTCCAAGGAGCGAGCTGTGGGAAAGAGCCTTCCCCGGGGCACTTTGCAAGGTGGGAAAAGTGCCTTCTTTTGGGGGGGGGGAGGATTTGTCCCTCCACAGGACTGGATTGAATAGCTATCATTTCAGTGTTATTACTTTTTACCACTGGGATTCAGCGACAATTTTGAAGAAGGTTAATCCCTTACCTGTGCCCCTAAAGCAACACAGTAAGCATTTTTAAAAATTACCCTCCCTTTCCCTTAACAGAGGTCACTATTTATAATTTTGCAGAATATACTGTTTCCCAGGGCCGTTTAATTTTTTGTGGGCCCAGGAGTGGTGGCCAGTTAAGGTCATCACGTGGCCAGGGGGCGGGGCCTCACTTAATGCAAGGCGGTCTCGCAGAGCAGGTGGAAGGAGGATGGCAAACTCATCCTTCCCTTGTTTCAGCCGCTTTACAAGAGCTGCTGTGATGTGTGACGGAGGAGTCCACTTTAATCACCAGCTTTCAATCAAAGCCCTTTTTAAAGCTCTTTGTTTAAAGGCACAATTCCTAAGAATAAAAAATTCTCCATAGCCATCTCTCTTCTCAGCCGCGTTTTCTTTGATTTGTATTGTTCAGTCACAGGCAAAAGAAACCAGCATGCTGACCACAGCTCTTTTCCCACTTTCGCACATGTATGCGTTATCAGACCGATCGCGATCCTGCTGCACTTACGGTTTTGTATTAACTTACTTGGAGAAGCTCATAACCGGTCTCGCAAAAGACGGCGAAGCGATCCTTCAGGGTGTACTCGGCTTGCACCGGCGCGATGTGGCCATTAGGTGGCGCCACCGGACCAGGGCAGGGCTGAGCTGTTGGGGGTGGGGCGGAGAGGGAGGCCGGGCTGAGTGAGGGCTTTTGATGCGGTCTCCAGCGCGCCGCTCTGAATTTAGCCATTTAAAGGTCTTGATTTATACATGGGTCCCGCATCACAAAAAGAGCTCGCCGCAAGTGGGGTAGCGTCCGTCAGATTTAAAACCCCAAAGGCAAGAATACACTGGGTCGCTTATTGCCCAAATGAGGAATTGCAGCCGGGCCTGGCCTCAGCCAAGGCTGCCAGGCAGGCGGGCACGCGGGGAGCCGGGGCGGCCTCCACACCCGCAGGGCAGCGTCCGCTCCGCGCCGGAACCTGAGCCACGCGGCCCAAAACCAAGCCACAGTGTCGGTTGGGGGAAAAGAGCTAGTCCGCATTCCCAGCAGTTACTTTCAACTCCGTGTGCGTGTTTCCTCAGCTGTGAGATGCGGAGGGGAGAACAGTCACTCACCCTCCAGGGTTGTCGTGAAGGCCGGATGTAAAGCACCTGGGCTGGGCAAGAGTGGGTGCATGTGACCCCCCACAACAGCCCTGTGGCATGGCCTTCGCTGCTCGGGGAAACCTGGGGTCCAGGTCCTCTCCGGCACCCAGGAAGCCTCCTGCTTCCCCTGAGAGCACGTACGTGCCCACAGTGTGCAGGCCTCCAGGGAGAGGTCCTTCACTCTGGTCCCCAAACCCTGGCCTGTTGTCACCCCAAGGCTTCAGCCCACCCCCATCGCTCCCCCTCGGCCTGTGCCAGTCTTCTGCTGAGTCACCTTCTCCCTCCAGCTGTGTGTCCCAGGGCAGCTCTCAGTCCCCTGCAGGCCTGAAGTCCCCACCTCCAGGGACAGCATAGGCCGGCGCCCGGCTGGCACCTTCCCTCCCTCACACAAGCCTCAAGGCTCTGTCCTGGCCCTTCCCCCACCAGCCTGGCAGACCTGACTCCCCCTTTGAGTCACTCTGAAACCAGCACCTCGGTTGTAGAAGTTTTATTACTTTGACCTACAGGAAAATGAAAGACTCAGAAATGAACAGGAGACAAACGAATTGTTCTCATAGTGCTGGGCTCCCTCCTACCAACCAGTCTCGCCCCTTCCCACATTTCCAACAGAGGTGGCCCAAGGGTTAATCTTTTCTAATCCAATTTTCTAATTTAAAAACTACCCCAATCCCTTTAATCCAATTATCACTTCCTCTATGCCACACCCTGCACCCAATGCTTTCCCTGCATTAGCCCACGAATTGACACCTTTTGAAGGAGACATTGTCCTCAATTGGAATAATTGGGACATTAAGGCTCAGAAAAGTTTTGTGAGAGGTTCAATGTCACATAGTCAGGAAACAGGTTTGTGCCTGGACACAAACCTAGGCAGTCCGACACCCAAACCTGAGCTCTAAGATTCCTGGATGGGTGGTTGGTTAGAGAGAAGGATGGATGGATGGATGGATGGATGGATGGATGGATGGATGGAAGGAAGGAAGGAAGAAGGATGGATGGATTTTGGAAGGAAGGAAGGATGGATGGATGGATGGATGGATGGATGGATGGATGGATGGAAAGATGGATGGATAGATGGATGGATGGAAGGAAGGAAGGATGGATGGATGGATGGAAGGATGGAAGGACTGAAGAATGGAAGGACAGATGGATGGATGAAAGGATGGATGGGGGGGCGCCTGGGTGGCTCAGTCGTTAAGCGTCTGCCTTCGGCTCAGGTCATGATCCCAGGGTCCTGGGATCGAGCCCCACATCAGGCTCCCTGCTCCATGGGAAGCCTGCTTCTCCCTCTCCCACTCCCCCTGCTTGTGTTCCCTCTCTCCCTCTGTCAAATAAATAAATAAAATCTTAAAAAAAAAAGAAAGGATGGATGGGTGGAAGGAAGGAAGGATGGATGGATGAAAGGATGGATGGGTTGATGGAAGTATGGAAGTATGGATGGATGGATGGATGGAAGGAAGAAGGATGGATGGATGGATAGATGGAAGGAAGGAAGGAAGGAAGGATGGATGGATGGATTTTGGAAGGAAGAATGGATGGAAGGATGGAGGGAGGGAAGGATGGATGGAAGGATGGATGGATGAAAGGAAGGATGGATGGAAGGATGGATGGAAGGAAGGAAGGAAGGAACAATGGATGGATGGATGGATGGATGGATGGAAGGATGAATGGATGGAAGGAAGGAAGGATGGATGGAAGGAAGGAAGGATGGTTGAAAGGAAGGAAGGATGGATGGAAGGAAGGATGGATGGATGGATGGAAGGATGGATGGAAGGAAAGAGGGATGGATGGATGGATGTATGGATGGAAGGAAGGATGGATGGATGGAAGAAAGAAGGATGGATGGATGGATTGATGGATGGATGGAAGGAAGGAGGGAGCCAAGGAAGGAGAGAAGTTGGGAGAGATGCAAGATCACCAGGAGAAGGTGATCTTGCCTAGAACAATCTTTTCTTTTGCTTATTATCTTTCTTGCCCTACCTTCCTTCCTATGAAAACCCTCCATTTTGTACAACTCCCTTCAGAGCTCCCCTCCACCTGGTAGATGGGATGCTGCCCAATTCACAAATCATTTAATAAAGCCAGTTAAGCCTTTAAATTTACTCAGTAGAATTTGGTTTTTTGTTTTTGATGGATGGATATGAAGGGTGGCAGAATATGGCACTCCAGAATATGCCTCTTTGGCATAAGGATTATTTTGAGCTGATTATTTTCAGAAATAGCAGACACAGGAGAAGGTCTGAAAACAGAGCAAAAGTTATTCTTTTGTAAGGGAACTTTATATTCACACAAGAAATGTCCATTAAGAGCGTCTCCCTCTCCGTCCCAGGAGAAGGATGACTAAATCACTAGAAACTCGTCCCTGGAGAAGGCAGGGTCTTACATCTGTATAACAAACCTTACTTTCATTTACCGTACTTTTCCCAGTCATGGGCACCTCCCCATAACTGGCTTCCCCCACGCCCTCCTCTCTTTTGTCTTTAGCTGAAGATGGTACTGACGCCTTGAGTTCTAAGTCCCCATTCTCCCGTGGGTAATCTCCCACGTATGCACGAGACATACACCTTAACAAACGTGTTTGTTTTCCTCTTGTTAATCTGTTTCTTGGTCCCAGCCAAGAATTTAGGAGGGCAGAGGGAAAATTGTTTTTTCCTCTCCTACAGATGGAAGGAGGGCCGGTTGAGTGGATGGGTGGTTACAAGAAGGGAGGGAGAGAAGGAGGAGTGAAGAGAGGGAGAGGTGGGTGGGTGGGTGGGTGTGTGGGTGGCATTTCCCCTTAGGGACCACTGTCTCACAGACCACCCTCACTCAAACCTGGTTTGTCTTCTGATGGAGTTCAGGACGCACTACCCCAAAATACAGCTCCTGGGCATGTTGAGTATTTGAAGCTGAAGGAGTTTGAGAAAACGGAGGCAGGGAGATCCCTCGGACCTCTGCCCCCTCCCTCACCCTTCTTCCCCATCACAGTCAGAAGACCCTCACGTACCGTCACGTGACAGTTGCCCTCCCTATACCGGGAGGGAAGGAGCATCCTTATCTCCAAAGACAAAGGGAACCAAGAAGAATCCAAATAAAGAGGCCTTGCTAAGTTTCCCCCATTTACAACACTTGCCTTAACCTGTCATTTTTCCCCATGACTGTCTCCTCTTCTGCAAACCCCCCACATAGAAATACGCAAGCCTAAGTGTTCCTCTGGGTCTTTTCTGCCTTGCGAAGTCTCCCATGCCACGTAGACCTTACATTACGTAAGTGTGGATGTTTTTCTCCTGTTGATCTTTGTCAGTTTACTTTTCGGACCCAGCCAGGAACCCTAGAGGGCCGAGGAAAACTTTCGACTCCCCTGCACTCCCCAGGCCTAGTCAGGAAGAGTTCCATCCTATGTAGCTCCTCGACACTCCAGGAAGAGCTTGCTGCCGGGATCCAAGACCCCCTTGCCCTCACCTGTGCTGGCGTAGTGGATCTTCCAGCCTGTGTGGTCCCCCGACTGATCAGTGACAAAGGTGATGGTCATGGCATTGCTTTTAGTTTCAATCCTAGGGGGCAACGTTGTCCCACAAAATGGGCCATATTCCTCTTTGTCTGTTTGAATCTGAAAGCAGAAGGGGCTCTGTCACCTCCGGACCCGCCAGAGCCAGAGGAGGTCTAGACCCAGGGAGCCAGACCTTGAGGGTGTCGTAGGGACACTGGGTGTCCGGGTGTGTCTCCACGTCGAAGGACCCCACAAAGTCCAGGATAATGCTGAACCCCTCCTCCAACTGGATGCCATAGGTGCAACTTGAGAGTTTGGGGTACGGCTGCGGGTATTCAGGGCTGCTGAGCACCCCCGACCGGTTGGTGAAGATCTGACCTGAACACAGGGCTGAGAGAGGATGGGGCGCTGTGAGAGGGTGCCAGCAGCCTGATTCCGCCCCCCCTGGCTGCCCTCACTGCCCTCTGGCCCAGTCAGATAGAACACCCCACCTCATGGGTGAAGGAACAATCTAGAGTTTCTTGGGCTTCCTGGATTTGGTTGAAACAGGTGGCACTCAGATGTACATCCTCCAGGACCCCACCCACACCCCCAGGGGCTCCTGGGCCTGGGGAGTTCTGGGCCCGAGTCACAACTCTGGGGTTGACAAAGTGAGCGAGGTTAGACTCTGCTGAGGGGGAAGGAGACAAGGGGGTCCTTCATCCACCCCTGACCCCAGCAACTCCCAAATTCATCCACCACGGGGCTCCCACCTGCACCCAGCTGGGACCAGTCCAGCCTTCCCTGGGTCCCCACAGGGAACAGAGGGGCCTCCCCTTGTCCACGTTCCCTCCCACCCTGGGTCTGGGCACTGCCCTGGGGGTTAGTTGAGGGAAGTTCAAGTTCACACTGATCAAAAGCATGTCTGGTGCCCTCTTTCTCCACTGGGCCAGATGGTCGTGCGCTTGCAGAGTGAGCTTTTTCTGCACCAGCCATGGGAGGCATCTGCCCAACCCCACCCCAGGCTGCAGAGGGTGTCTGAGCTGGGAGGCTTCCAGAAGCGAGGAGTCCCAGCACAGCCCACCTTCCTCCGTGGGCCTGCTCCCCACAGGGCAGAGGGAACAGCCCCTGGATGTGGGGGACCAGCCTGCCCATCGATGGCTATCTCCCTGGGCTTTTCTGCTCTGGGTCAGGCTCCCCCAGCCCACCCCCCCTCCCTGGGGCAGGAGTCATCCCCTGAACAGGAGCTGGTCCAAGGATGCTCCCAGCTCAGCCACTGGGGACCCAGTGGGAGAGTAGAGAGAGCTCGGTCTCCCTGTGTGAACTCAAGCAAGCCCTTGTTCCTCTCTGGGCCTCAGTGCCCCATCTACAGAATGGATTGGGGGATGCTGGACAAGGCTTTCTGGCAAAGGGTCTGGTGGCCCCATGGAGGGGGTTCCCACCAACTAGGGTTCATCCAGGCTGTGATGAGGGGAGGGAGAGAGTGGAGGGGGCCAGGGTGCACACCACTGCCCTCTCCCCACCATGCCACCCAAGAGACACGAAGCAGTAGGTGGAGCCGGAAGCAGGTTTATTTTTAGGTCCATGGAGGGATGCATGGGGTGGATGGGGGGCTGTAGGTAGCAGCAATCTCGGCCCAACCCAGACCGGAGCCAGAGGTGAGGCTAGGGGCTCTGCTCTGGAAGAGAGAACAGAGAGACAGGGAGAGACACTGGGGGAGAGGCCCCAGGCCGGGGGAGGCAGGGGCAGCACTGAGGCTTGGGGGCTGCCCCCTCCCCAGGGCACCCCCGGGTTTCCCATCTGGGCACCTGGCACCTGGCAGGAGCTTGGAGGATGCGGGCAGTAGAGGCCAAAGGGGTCGGCCTGCTGGGGAGCCAGCCGCCTTGAGTGCGCCCTGCCCCAACTGGGAAGTTTTGTGCAGGGAAGCCTGTGTGAGCTGAGCCTCTGTTCCCCACTCCTCCAACCTGGGAGCCCAAGGAGGGCGAGGTGGCTGTAACAGGGGCCCAGAGCCCAGACACGGTAGGTGCATAGTGGGGGCCCAACACATATGATCCAAGGGATGGGCTGAAGACCCATGAGAGGGAGCCGAGGATGGAACGGAGGAGGGGGAGGGATTCCGGATTGTCAGCGATGGACAGATGGCAAGAGGGGACCGAAGATCAAAGATGGCAGGAGAGGACAGCCTGCCAGGAGGGGACAGCCTGCCAGGAGGAGTGCCCAGTAGGCCAAAGTCAGTGGTCCCTCCAGACCCCTGGGCAGAGCACTTATGGCTTTTAGGAGCTGGCTGTATTCTGGGCCAAGGTGGGGGCTGGCCTGGGCACAGTGTCCGCCCCATACCTTCCCCAGCCCCCGCTCACCTGAGCGGGTGCAGCTCACCTGAGCAGGTGCAGCTCACCTGAGCAGGTGCGCTTGTTCCTGTGGAGGACGTAGCCCCTGCGGCAGGAGCAATAGAAGCCACCCAGGTGGTTGTGGCAGTGGTGGTCGCAGGGAGATGCCTGTCCCGGCGGCACCTGGCACTCATCGATGTCTGGGGGAGGGGCAGGCCAGGCAGGGGGTCAGCGGGGAGGAGCCAAGGCGGTACTGGGGCCCGGGAGCAGGCTCGGCCTCACGGCTGACCCAACAGGTGTCTCCTCATGTCTGGAAGTGGCTGATGCCCGGCCAAGCATCGAACAGGCCGAGGCTCATTATAACCTCAGAACACTTGGAGGTAGATGTCAGTACCCCTCTTTTTTCAAACGAGTGACGGGTTAAGTGTCCCTGCTCAAAGTCACGCAGCTAATGGGCGGCCAGCGGGCGGAAGCAGCCGTCGAGCCCAAGGAGCGGGGCTGTGACCCAGGTTCCAGCAAACTCTGCTGCAGCCTCCTGAGGAGCACAGAGAGGTGGAGCCACTTGCCCGAGGTCACACAGCTGGTCCCTGCAGGAGCCCCTATCTGAAACCAAGTGTTCGGCTGGAAGCCCACGCACAGGGAGCACAGGCTGGGTGTCCTCAACGGGGCTCAGGCCGGTGGGGCTGCACTTCCCATCCAGAGGGGGGCTCACTGGGCCCTGGCCTCACGGGGGGCGGGGGCCGCTGGGAGCACGTCCCTGGCTCAGCACCCCGCACACCATCGGGCTCAGCCGGAGGGCAGGGGTCACAGCTGTTACTGATATTTGCCCTGGGGCTGGTGTTGGATGCAGGGCTGGACTCCTCGCCCGCTGGTTTGCGCCCGCTGGTTTGGCAGGAACCCAGCCTCGGGGAGGTGAGGGGACCGAAGGGAGAGCTGGCCTGGCCTAAGACAGAGTCACCCGTGGGCAGATGGGCCATCTCACGTCCCTCCCCTGGACCCCAGCCTCCTCTCGCCTCACCCTCTGCTGCATAGAAGGCCTCAAAGCCCGTGAACGGCTTCTCGTTGGAGTAGTCGGAGCGGAAGGTGACGTCCAGGCTGGAGGCCGGCGAGTAGAAGGTGTCATTGCCGGGGGCGCGCTCCGTGTCTGTGCTCTCCTGCCCGCACAGCGTGGTCAGCACCTTGCTCCCCGAGCTCAGCTGTAGGGTTGGAGTCATGGGGAGGGAGGGCGAGACGCAAGGCCCGCACTCGCTCCCTCCCTCCCTGCTGCCAGGGGTCCCTGTCCCCCAGCCCTCGAGAGGGTCCGGGTCGTCCCCCCCGCCAGCTGTCGGCACCTTGACATAGTCGTACTCGCAGAGGTAGGAGAGCTCCAGGTGGAAGTGGGTGAAGTAGAGGCGCAGACGGTAGCCGGGGGGTGCCGTCAGGGTCCAGCGCTGCTCCTGGTTGTTGGCGTACTCCCCGGGGAAGCCAGGCGATGCCAGGCGCCCAAACATGGGCTCAGGCCACTGTGGGCCAGGGAGTGTGGCTGCCCAGCCCCACAGCAAGCCCAGGAAGACCAGCAGCCTGAGGGCGGCGGCAGGGGGGCAGGTGAGGAGCCCTATTCTGACCCCTCGCCCCCGCCGGGGAGGCGGTGGGGGGGCTCCCACTCACCTCATTGTGCACCCGTCCAGCTGGCCAGGCCCGGTCTGGAGCCGCACGGTGTCTCACCTTTGGTCTGTTTGTCCAATGCCTGGCCCTGCCCCCAGCCTCCCTGACCCTGGGATTCTGGGAGTTGACCCCATGACTCCGGATTGCCCCGAGTGTCAGGCAGTGAGGGGAGGTCGCTCTGGGAGCCAGGAGGTGGACCTGAGCGACACAGCCCCAGAATAAATCCTGGCTCTGTCCCTTACCCTTAACCTCCGTGTTCCCTCCCTCAGTGTGTGACTTCCAAGGCCAGCCGGTGGGGGGGGGTGGGGGGTGGGCAATGACAATGATCAAGACAATGATGGCTTCTGGGGAGACTTGGGGATGTGTCTATTTTTGCTCCCTCCCTCCTGCATCTACTTTTTCCCTATGCAAGATGGGAAAGAGAATTTTTAAAAACATGTGTGCACGAGGATGGGGGATATGGGAGAGGAGGCAGCCTCACCATTTTGAAAGCTGGAAACACAGACGGACAGGTGAAAACTGCCCTCTAGAAAGCAACTCTAAGTCCCGCTGAGCAGGGAGGGACAGCCAGAAAACAGCGCTGAGCAGATAGACTGAATGTTGACAGCCCCAGCCGTCCTCCCGATTCAACTCCTAGAACCAGGCAGCCCCCCAGACAGGCTTCTCCCTTGTTGCTGGACAAGTGTGGCCAGTCCAGGAGGAAGGGCCTGAGGACACTGACTTGGAAGGTTCTCCCGGCAAATGGCTCAGCCATGTCTCCTGGGGTGAAAACTCAGCAGACAAGTCCCAGTCATGTGCTCAGAGCTTCCAAATAGTTTTTTAGTCCCCACTCTTACATATGAGCAGAACATTCAAGGAAAACCTCAGACACGAGAGAGAGTCTTCTAAATCAGCCAACCAACCAAAGAGTACAGAAACAAAGTAGGGAGAAGAAAATGCCCCAAACCAAAGTGAAAGAATCATTAACATCTTCAGAGGGAAAAGAGAAGCAAGAACAAGAAGCAAGAACAGGAAACTACTTAAAAAGAACATTCAGGGTGCCTGGTTGGCTCAGTCGGTTAAGCGGCTGCCTTAGGCTCAGGTCATGATCCCAGGGTCCTGGAATCGAGTCCTGCATCAGGCTCCCTGCTCAGCGAGGAGCTTGCTTTTCCCTCTCCCTCTGCCTGCCACGCTCCTTCTCTGACAAATAAACAAATAAAATCTTTAAAAAAAAATAAAAAGGGGGTGCCTGGGTGGCTCAGTCGTTAGGTGTCTGCCTTTGGCTCAGGTCATGATCCCAGGGTCCTGGGATCGAGTCCCACATTGGGCTCCCTGCTAAGCGGGGAGCCGGCTTCTCCCTCTCCCACTCCCCCTGCTTGTGTTCCCTCTCTCGCTGTCTCTCTCTCTGTCAAATAAATAAATAAATAATCTTTAAAAAAAGAAAAAGAACATTCAGAGAACAAAGAATAGTTTTGGGAAATAAAAAGTATGATAGAAATGAAAAGCTCAATCAAATATTTGGAAGATAAGATGGAAGAAATCTTCCAGAAAATAGAGCAGGAAAGAAGTGAAAAACAGTAAAGATGAGGACATTAACAGATTTGTACCGTATGTCAAAGACTGAAGAAGAGGAATTCCAGACAGAGATAAAGGAAATAGAGGAGAGGAAATTATAAAGAAAAGAATGCAAAGAAATGTCCCCAAACAGAACATGAGTTTGTTGACTGAAAGTGTCCCCAGTGCCCAGAACAATAGATGAAAATAGAAGTTTACACATCATATCTCAAAAGGCTCGAGAGAAAAATGATTTTTTCTACAAACTGAGAGAGGAGAGAGAAAACAGAACAATCCGCATACAAAATATCAGGAAAAGAATTATTTTAGAGCTCCCCAAACAACACCAGAAACTAGAAGGCAGCATCCAAGATGGCCTTTAAAGGTTCCTGCTTTGGGGTCCTCACACCCTTGTATGCAATCTCCTCTCAAATGGAGTAAGGCTTGTGGGTGGGATATGGCTGAAGTGGTGTGTTACTTTGGGGCTCGGCCATATAAGACCCTGCAACTTCCATCTGGCTCTCTGGAATCCGTTGCTCTGGGAAGCCAGCCGCCATGTTGTGAGGACACTCAGTGTCCCTATGGAGAGGTTCGCATGGGGAAGAAAGGAGGCCTCCTAGCAACCACCGGTGTGATTTGCTGGTCGCGTGAGGGAACCGCCTGGGAAGCTGATCCTCTAGCTCCAGTTAAGGTCAGGTGATTGCAGCCCTGGCCTACAGCTTTACTGCAACCTTATGAATGACTCTAGGCTGGATCAACTAGCTAAGCCACTTCCCAAATCCTGACCCACAGAAAAGACATCACTCTGCTATGTCTGGGCTAATCTTCAGCACAGCAATAGACAATCTATGAAAATGGAAAAGAGCAAATCCCAAAATGCTAAAGGAAGATGATTTCCAACATAGAATTCTATACCCATCCGAATTCTATACCCACCAATTAAGCACAAAGATGGAACAAAGACATTTCATGGGTGTCAGAGTTGTAAAACTTTGCATCCCCTGTCCCCTTCCTCAGAAAGTTACCACAGAATATGCTCCACCCAGACAAGGGAGTAAACCAAGAAACAGGAAGGTATGGAGTCCAAGGAACAAGACTTCTGATAGGGAGTTCCACTGGGGCTAGTCAGAATGCTCAGGACAGAACACTCGTAGAGTCTAGAGGTTTAAGAAAAACTTTTCCCGTAGTTTTTGTTTCTTAAATGAGAGTGTTATAAACTTTCTGGTATAAATCATAATGGAGAAGTGCATATTATGTATATTAATATTTCCTATTAGTGAAATTTCCAATTCAGTGTGATCGTGAATTGACTATGAGTTATAATGTGCTGGATACTAGGATCTCATAACCAAAAAATTGATTAGCATTCTGTCCAGATCCTCATGACATGTACTGAGTCCAGAGATCTTAAAAAAAAAAAAAAAAAAAAAAGCTTTCAAGATTTGGTAAAAAGTTCGAGGCTAAACTGGTGATGAATTTATTACGAATTAAGCAAATGCGAAACACCTCCAGGGGCAAGCAGCGGCTGCACGGGGGATAGACTCGAGTCCCGGCCGAGAGCGGTGTTTACAGAGATGTGACGGCACTAACACTATAAACATGGCCCTGACCGAGGTGATCATGTTGTTGTTGAGTGTGGTTGGGTCAGGGGAGGAAAGAACTAAATCCTCAACTTCCCTAGTGGCAAGTCAACAGATTATGACTGAAACCGACAAGCTAAAACGCGGTAATACGAGAGGATGCAGACGTGCAGGTAAATACCAGAACCATCAGCTGGGAGAGGTACACGTGGCTGGCTCTGCAGGAAGCCAAGTGGCTGAGGAGGGCCGCCATTTTCCTTCTAATGATCCACCAGCAACTACTGGAATCCTTAAACCAGGGCAGCGCTAGTTTCGATAAATAACTTCCAAACTCTAGGCAGGGGGGTGCCTGGCTGGCCCAGTCAGTAGAGCATGCGACCCTTGATCTTGGGGTCGTGAGTGGGAGCCCCATGTTGGGCCATAAAGCTTACTTAAAATAACAACAAAACCCAAGAAGCTCTAGACAGGATCAGTTTTATCCTCGATGCCACAGGTAGGGCCTGTTCATGACCCTCTCTGGGATTTCTGGGACCTCGGGGCTCAGGCCACGCCTGCACCAAGTGCCCCACTTCTGCTTCAGGCCATCAGTCTGTGTCTCCATCACATCTGTCTAGATGTGGGGTCCAGCGCTAGTCCTTAATGTGCACCCCTTCAGGGAGGCTTTACTAAAAGTTGGGGAAGTGGAGGGATTTACACAGAGACAACCTCAATGTCCAGGTCAGGCATCCTTGTTTCCCCAATGACCCCTCTCTTTCAACAACTTGGGGCCTCCTCTTCCCTTCCTCTGCCCCGACGGGCAGTCCTGATTCCCACTAGTTGCACGAGCATCACATGACCCATGCTGCTTAACAGAGCCTGTCACAGGTGAGGACCATTGCTCCCAGAGACTTGACAGACAAGACAAGCAAGCCAGGAGCTGTGAGCGGCTCAACGCCAGTCAATGGGAAGGCAGAGTTGAGATTCAGATTCAGGCCCAGAACCCCTGCCAGCAGCATTCCTGGGGTCACCCTAGGGATGGACCTTCCTGGAGCTTGGTAAGATGAGCTGGGGGAGAAGAGTGGATGTCTGGTGATGTCCCTGTTGGGGCCCAAGGGTGCTTGGGCTGAGCTGCAGAGGAGGCACGCAGGGCAGGTCGAGTGGAGTGGCTCTCCAAAGGCCGGCTGCCTGGTGTCCTCCACCGTGTGCTTACTAGGTGTGTGGCCTTGGGCATGTCATCTACCTTCCTCACGAGCAGCTGGAAGGTTTAAGGAAGGAGAGAGACCTGGGTTGGGTCAGGGCCTCATCAGTAGCCACCACGTCTTCCTTTAACGGACACTCTGCCGTGTGACCCACACATCATGACCCTACCTCATCTCCCCAGGAGTGGGGAGACCTGGGGAAACCATGTTCACCCCCAAGCCTGGGTGTAAGATTGTTCTAGAGTTGGGGGGTGGTGGGATGGTGAAGTTAACTTGCAATCACATGTCAGAAGGTGCTCCAAGTCCAGTGAGGGGCTGGGGGTGGGGTGCGTGGAGCCCAGAGCGGGCAAGTGACCTCCCTGATGCCACTCAAGAAGTGGGCTGTGCAGCTGGAGGCTTGTTCCCCACCCCCACGATGACTGCAGTTCCAGGCCTCCTGGAAACTATCAGGTCCAAGGTAGCTGCGCAGGGCAGGTGCAGGTCGGGGGTGTTCTAGCACCCCACCTCCCTGCCGGGGCCACTCCCTTGTCCCCTTCCTGCCAAGTCTTCCAGGTCAACCCATCCTCTGGCAGTGCTTCTGTTCAGGGTGGAGAAAGGGGTTGGTGAGGTCAGCTCTTCTAGAGAGCAGGGCCCTTTCCTGCAGACCCTGAGACAAGAGTGGGCTGGAGGCCCCCTTCCCCAACCTGCACCCTGTTATGGTGGCTCTTCTCCTCCCAGGAGAGCCTCAGTCCTGGTTGTTGGGAAGGGTGAGGTGCCTGGGGCAGAGGATGGAGGTTCAGGACCTTGGAGAGGGGACAGTCCTGTGCCCACAGAGTCCTGGTACGGCCACCCACACCTGCTTTCTCAACCTCTCAACCCTTGGGGGGTACTTCTGAGAATTTACCAGAGCATGCTCATGGGTTGGCAGGCAGGATTTGAACCTAAGTCTGAATCCTGAGCCAAGTCAGGGCACCTGATGTGCTTAAACAGGCCCAAGTAACTGGACACCAACCACGCACCAGCCAGCCGCCTCTGGAGTCCCATCCAGCATCGCCCTGAACCCCCAGGATGGGACCTGACAACCCTGTGAGTGACCTGGATTCTTCTGAGACAACAAAGCCCCTGAGTGACCCCACCATGATCTTCTCAACCCCACAGCCCTTGCCCCAGGGGTCTGTCATCTCCACCCTCTGTGGGGCTTGGTGAAGGAACGACTACAGCAGTGTCTTGGTACAGATTTGGGCCCGGTCTGCTAACCGCTGCGTCCCCTGGTGCCAGAGGTCAAGGGGCCAGTCCCAGGCGACACAGAAGGGCCGGGTCTGCCTATTCACCGACATGTGGTGGATACCTGGAGGCCAGACGCTGGGGTCAGCTCCGAGCCCAATACACAGGAACGCCCAACACTGGCTGATGTGGCACCTGCCTGGGCCCATTCAAGGTCTGGGGACACACGATTCGGAATTTGTTATAAATACACGTGTTTGGTGAGTGAGGGCGACAGAAGGTGGAGAAGGTGCTGTACACAGCTGGTAGAGGCTTGGAGGCTGGACGCCACATCGACAGAGAGACAGTCCGCCCAGCAGGGCAGCCCGGGCAGCATTCTGGGGCCTGTAACACTTGCTTGGTGGGCACACCGGCGGGGCGGGGGGTGGGGGGTCTCGTCCAGGGCTCGTCGCGCCCAGGCACCCTGGAGGCTCCCTGGCCTGAGGTCCTGGGCGGTGTCAGCAGGGGCGCCTGGGCTCAGCTCACATCATTCAGGGCCTGGTGGGACAGAAGGCCTCGTCAGGAGGATGCTGGGTCATGTGGGGGCTCGGGAGGCCCCGAGTCCCCTTGGTTGTGGCCCCGGCCGACAGGCGGCTCACCTTGCGTGCAAACTCGGGCAGGACGAAGGCGGCCTGGTGCACGTCTGAGTTGTAGTACTTCAGCTGCATCTGCTCCACCTGTTTCTGTGTCAGAGGCTGCACGGGCTTCTGGAAGTCGGTGCTCTGGGGACAGGGGATGCGGGCATCAGGGAAGTGCTTTCGGTGCCCGCCTGCCCCACCCCCCCTCCAGCCCCCGGGAGGGCACGCAGCTCACGGGATTTTTGCTGCACAGCATGAAGCCTATCTGGCCGCTGGGGTAGGTGGGGATGGTGCAGTACGCATAGGCCACCACGGGGAAGAGCGACTTGCAGAACTGCCGCATCTGCTTGATGAGGTCCAGGTGCAGCCACTGACACTCGCCTGTGCGGGGAGCAGGGGGGCATCAGCCCCAGCAGGCCGGCCAGCCAGCCAGCTGCCCCGCCCCTACTCCCATGCTGGAAGCCTGCTCACCCTGCCCACGCTGGAGGGCTGCCCCGCTTGCCCGACCCCCGCGGCCCCCCACGCTGGCCTGCTCACCCTGGCAGCAGAGGACGCCATTGTCCTTGAGGGCCATCTTCATGAGCTGGTAATAGGACTCCTTGAAGAGACTCTCTGCAGGGCCTGCACCGGCGGGACAAGGGACAGTGAACACTCCGGCTGAGACCTCCCAACCCGGGCCGGGATTTGAACCCCGGTCTGTGGATCCAGAAACCAACCACAAAGATGGTGCTTTTGAGGAGCGCAGGGATCCAGTGTCCCAGTATCTGAGGGGGCTCCACGTTTCCATCCCATTCCTTGGGGGGGGGTCCTCACTGCCACTGTGTCAGGGGACTCTGCACCCTGGGCCTTGGGTTGAGACTAGGTCCCACCCCTTGCCCCGATGCTAGCCTATTAAGAGCAGAGAGGAGACTGAAGAGGAAGCTGGGGCCTCCGTGGGCCACGGCCGGAGCCCCACTCTCCTCCAGGTCCCCAGTCAACTCGTAACTTTGGGCAGCAGCATCCTCTCCCTCCTCTGCTGAGCCAGGTCTGGGGTGGGGAGGGGAGCGACCAAGAAGGGGAAGGTGCAGCTCTCACTCTGGACCCGCCTGTCCTCCGCTCTGCAAATCAGCTGTGGGCCCAGCGGGAAGGCTGGCCTCCGGACGGTGGCTGCCCGGGGCCCCAAGGCCCATGCCTTGCTTACCCATAGGGTCTGAGGAGTCAGTGATGATAACATCGAAGGCATCCTGGTTCTGTTTCATGAACTCAAAACCGTCGCCCACGTGTAGGGTCAGTTTGGAGCTGGAGTAGCCCACGGCCATGCCCGGCAGGAACTTCTTGGAGACCTGGATGACGTCCTGGGGAGGGAGGAGGGACCCGGCTGGGCCGTGGGGGTTGAGGGCCCTCCAGCCCTCCCTCTAATACTCTGGTCACTTGGGCAAGCCATTCATTTTGTGGAAACCTGGTACTCTGCTGCCTCGCCTTCCGTCATGGAGGGCTGGCTCCTGCCTCACCATCCCCGTTCTCCGTCCCCGGACCAAACCGTCCCATCCGAGTGACTTTCTTGCTGGGTCAGAGGAAGGGGAGTCCAGCCTCCACCAAGAGGACCTCCCCTGCCTCCACATGGCCAGCTGCTTCTCATCCAGGCCTCAGCTGAAACCCATCTCCTTGAGGCAAGCACTGACCAGCCTTCACCCCTAAGCTCTGAGCCTGCTTTTTCCTTTCATGCCCTGCACCCGCCGTGTCTTCATCGGGATTCCTCCTCACTAAAATATAACTTCAAGGGGGCAGGGACTGGACCTGTCCATTCACCACTCTACCACCAGCATCTAGATCATTGGCTGCCACGTATAAGATGCTCATTAAAAACGTGCCGAGCGTAAAGTGTAGACACACAGGTAGTTGCAATGCTCCTGGGTCTTGCCTGGGACTTGACGTAAAAACCAGCTTAGTCTTACTAAGAACCAGCATCGTGGCACACCTACTATGTGCCAGGCCCTTTGCTACCCAGTTTTCCTACCGAATCCTCCCAACACGTTTTTGAGATGAACAAAGAGGCCGAGCAACATTGAGCGACTCGCCCAAGGGTATACAGCCAATTCAGGGCGGAACTGGGATTCGAACCCAGAGCCCGGCACTCACCTCATCAATCTCACACTGGACCACAGACTCCACGGAGGAATGCTTCAACACCTCCCGCAGGACACCTCCGTCCCCACCCCCGATGATCAGCACCTAGGAGGGGCAGGATCATTCAGAAGCACAGCCCCGAGCCTGAGCACCGGCCCCACCAAAGAGGCTCCAGCAGGACTCGGGGGCCCGGGCCCGCACGGGGCAGATGCACTCACACAACACCATCCCAACAGGGTAGGTTTCTCAACTCCTCAGATGCACAGACAGACCTCATTACTTCATTTGCTACTCTCAGAAATGCTTTCCTGCCTCAGGAACCTGTCACAAGGTGTCCCCCTGTCCTGGAAACTCCTCCCAGGGCTGCTCCTTCTTATGAAGCAGGCCTCAGCCTGAACCGTTTGCTCCTCAGAGGCTGTGGCAGCCCCACCCCTTGTGAAGTGGGCCACTCGCCCCACTTACTTCCCTGGTTCTTGCTAGCACTTTCTGACAACCATTTAGGAAGCACCTGGGCTGAGCATGGGCACAGCTGGGGCCTCCTGCACTGTTCTGTGGGGCACTGAGCAGTGGGCTTCCTATCTCCGGGCTCGGGGCTGAACCCTGGCGGGAGCGGCGATACCTTCCGTGGGTTTGGGTGGCTGCAGAGGGGCAGGTTGGCTATCATCTCCTGGTAGGAGAACTCGTCCCTCTCCGTGCATTGGATGACACCGTCCAACACCAGCACGTTGCCGTAGCTCTTACTGAAGGCAGGAGTGACAGTCAGGGACCTGGGTCCCCTGGAGTGGGGGCAGTGCGCTCCCACTCGCCCCCGGTGAGAAGAATCTCCCCCAGCCTGCCAAGGGGTCCCAGGGGTGAGTGCTGGGGGTGACACGTGGCGAGGATGGCCAGGCAGGCCCGCCGGGTGGGGGGTGGGGGTGGACTCAGGGTCCCGGCTCTGACGTGTCCGGGGCTGACACGTGGAGCTCGGCGCGTGGGGCCGGCGCAGACTCCGGCTCCCTCCCCGCCCAAGAGGACCGCCCGAAACGCCGGCCTCCTGCGCAGGGAGACGGGATGCAGGGTGGGGAGGGGGTCTCGGGAGGGGAGGGGCCTAGTTCCCCAGAACTTCTGACAGTTTTGCAGGGGGTGGGGCGGGGACAGAGACGGCCCGCGGGCGGGGCGGGGGGGGGCGTCCGGAGGTAAAGGGCGCAAGACAGGGGTCCGGAAGGAAGAGGGGCGGCCGGGGCTGAGACCGGGGCAGGAGGAGCCCCGGCTGGCTCCGGGGCGGCGGGCAGCGGGCGGTCTGGGCTGAGGGCCGCCGCACGCTCGGGGGCGCGGGCCCGGGCCGGCGGTGGTACCTGCGGAAGACAAGGATATCCTGGTACTGCGAGCGCTGATGGTGTAGCAGCTGCTCCACCTGCAGCGACAGGGCCTGGCCGGGCCACAGGCTGCACGTCTCGCGGAACCAGCCCTCGTGGATGTCAGCGGGGCCGAAGGCGGCAGGGCCGTCGGGGCCGGGCTCCATGGCGGGCGGGCGGGCGGGCGGCGCGGGGCGCGGGCCCGGGACTGCAGGCCGCGCGGAGCCGCAGCACAACGGGACCAGCTCCGCCCGCCGCCGAGCGGCAACCTAACGCGCCCGAAGGGGCGGGGTCCACTGGTGGGGGCGGGACCCAACCCCACCAATGGAGGCGCCAGCGCGGGGCGCGCGGCGACCCCCGAGGCCCCGCCCTCGCCGGCAGTCGGAGCGCGCTCATTGGCCGCCGGTCCAGAGCGCGGTGCCCAGTGGCTGCGGCGGACCGTCCGTCGGCGGCAGCAGGGTAGTGCGGCTCGCTCCGAGGGGCCACGTGGGGGCCGGGGCCGGGCTGCCGGGCCCGGGTTCCGGCTCGGGGTGGGCCGGGCCGGCGGAGGGGATCCGGCTGCGTCCCCGTGCCCCGCGTTGGCCGGGCGGTACAGCCCCCAGGGCCCTGTCCCGTTTCTGGGGTCCGGGAGGCGCCGAGGGCCGCAGAGAGGTAGCGGGGGGGGGGGGGGGTGCCCGGCGCGGACTTTCCGAGCGCTGGGACGAGCGGGCCGCCGGCTGGAGCCTTAGGGCTCAGAACCCGGAGCAGGCGGCTGCACTGTCGGGCGCAGAGTTACGTTGTTGCGCCGGGGCGGTGGGGTAGAATGTATCTCCCGCCGCGTCCCCAAATGTGGCTCCTTGTTGGACTTGAACGGAGCGTGTGGCTCGTCAGGGGCTTACTGAGGGTTTTTATTTACTTGAAAAGGACCAACACAGCTCCCTGACTTTAGGGAGATCTTGCCATTTTCTCTCGATCCTCCAATCCGTGAGCCGTGCGGCTGCTGGATAAGGAGTTCTTTTCTAAGCGAGTTTCTAAATTTACCAGCAGTGCCCCGGAAGAGGCCAACACATGCATATTCAGCACCAAATAAGACTGGCACGCGGTTTTTTTTTTTTTTTTTTAAACGGCTTTGCTGTTTGAAGGGTGGGCGGGAACGTGCTGTTTTTAGAAAAATGTCAAGAACTTCTCTGAATCACATTAGGCATGCTAATTACCAAATATTAAATGCTAATTGCTCTACACGCATAGTTCTTCGCATGCCAGGGAAGGGAGGTGGAACTGGTGTAAGCTACTGGGGACATGACAGGGATGTTTTTTGACTGACATTCCGCAGCCTCCACTTGGAGGTGGGAAGCATGTTCTCTGTAACCTCAGATGAGTAACACACTAGTGTTTATCAGTGCAAGCCTCAAGGCTTACAGCAACAATGTGTCTTGGTTGATTTTAAGCTGCTTTTTGGGGGAAGGTGAGCCAAGACAACACAAGAATTGCTCGGAGATGTCTCATAGGGAGCTGCTTCGAGACCCGAGGTCATTCAGGTAAGAGACAGTCCACCCCTCTGTCCAGTTTTCCTGCAGGCTTGCCTGGGTTCAGCCCTGTACTTCCTCCACCGACATTTACACCTCTGAGCTGTGATGGCCTGTTCACTTGTGTGTCCCCTGAACCAGACTGTAAGCTCCATGAGACTAGGGATGGTGTCCGTAGCCGGCTGAGTTGACGCTGGAGGCTCGGGCGCTGGTCCAGGCACCTCGTAGTCAGCTGTCTTGGCCGCCTTCCAGGGATTGCACAGCCGAGACCAGACAGGGGCCCTGGCATTCCAGGGGCACTGCAAGGTGGGGGTGGGGGCAGTGGAAGATCGAGTCCATCCGTCCCATTCCTCCCACAAGTTGAACAAAGCTGCGTCAGCACGTATATCCTCAGAGGAGAAGGACCATAAATGACACCTTTTGCCCTCCTGTAGAGGAGGTGAAACCACGGTTTTGGCCTCAACACCAACAGTGAATGGGATTTCTGGGATGGTATGTATAAGCAGTAGCTCAGACCTTCCCCGTCCAAAGGAAACAAAGGCCCAAATGCAGGCAGAAAAGTCCCTAGATGTCCAGGGCCATGATCCCATAAATGTCACTCAGCTTCAGATCACAAGGAGCAAACGCAGTGGTTCAGCCAGAAGTAGCTAGCTAGCACAACACTGCCCGGTTACATTCACAATGGATACGGAACATCAGGATGCAGAAAACCAAGGTACAGGATGAAACGTTTCCTTGAATTCAGACCCACGTGCATTTAAGATTCAGTGGGAAGGGCGCCTGGGTGGCTCAGTCGGTTGAGCGGCTGCCTTTGGCTCAGGTCATGATCCTGGAGTCCCGGGATCGAGTCCCGCATCGGGCTCCCTGCTTGGCGGGGAGTCTGCTTCTCCCTCTGACCCTCCCCCCTCTCGTGTGCTCTCTCTCTGTCTCAAATAAATAAATAAAATCTTAAAAAAAAAGAAAAAAAAAAAAAAGATTCAGTGGGAAAGCATCACTGTCTAGTGGGTCAACTATCCCAATCTGTTAAGATGTAGATGATTTAGCCACCGGGAGAGGAGAGAGGCGGGCGAAGGCCTGCTGTCCAAGGCAGAGGCTGCAGTGTGTGTCTGTCACTGAGAGACGTTCAGCAGTTCGCACCTGAGTCCTGTTGCAGGCACTGTGTTCAGCCAGGCAGATGGGGCTGGCTGTGAGTGAGAATGAATTTGGCCACGGCGTGGGATTACTTGGTTGAAAATGTTTCTGGCAAGCTGACTAAGGTACCACCAACAGCACTGTGCCTCCTGGAGCAAAGAGCCCTTCTCCCCATCAATTCTCTCTCCACCCCCAAGCCCGCTGGCCCTGCCACACCCTCTCCCAGGGCACAGCGCCATCCTCCATGGCCGTTCGGACACACGGCCCTTGGGACACTCACCCATCCTCCCAGGGCCCTGGGGATCCAAGTGCTCCCCCCATGGCCTTAAACTCCAGTGAAGGGAACTACAGCTGTTCCCCAAACATCCCCAAGGCTCTCATCTCCATCCCGTGGCTCAGTAGTCCTGGACTTCTCTGGTTTCGGGGACCAGTAAAATTTCAAAAACACATTTGGGGATGGACATCAGGTTGCCAACTCTTTCTTTTGCAAGGAAGGACATTTACAAAGACCTCAACTAGTACTGTCTACGGTCCCCATCTTTTTATAAAACAAACACAAAACATTGCCACAAAGACAAAACTAATAAGGGTCATTTCCAAGTAAAGGACAAGGAATCACCTTACTTCTCTAAGAAACTTAATATACTGTCTTCGTTCTCATGTCACCTCTGGCCCGTGGTGAGCCCGCCGTGGCCCACTCAGCAAGGCCTGGGGCGCGCTGCCACGCTTATCCAGTGGTTCTCAGACTTCAGCCAGCAGGGGAATCATCTGGAGAGCTTGCTGCGCCCGGCTTCCCAGGCCACCGGCCCTCCCTCCTGCTTGGCACGTATGGGGTAGAGCCTGGGGTTCTGCTCCCTGCAGGTCTCTGGCAGAAGTCCACACTGTGGAGTAGCACTTAATTAAAAGGTTCTCTGGACTTTCTCCCTTACTCTCCAAGGTCCAAACAAAATGTACTTTTCGTGAAGGCTCCTCAGTAGAAAATCATTTCTTGCTCTTAAAAATTCCCATCTGTCCACCTTTTTTTTTTTTAGCAGAGACTCCACCATGTTTGGGCAGACTGCTTACTGTGCCTCTGTGTCTGCTCTTTCCCAGCTCTGCACCAGAACCCTGGACTTTTGGGGGCCCGTGGACACTGAAATGACTTTCCCAGTAGCCTCTGCTGTGGCATGTGACTATGTGCTGGCCAGTGGGAAGTGGACACAGGCCATATCTTTTTCAAGGGAGACTGGGTGTGCATCTCTTCCCTTCCTTCCAGCTGAATGGAATGCAGATGTGATGGATGGAGCTGGGCCGGTTACCCAGCCCATGAGGTGGAAGCCCTGGGTTCCAGTCGAGGGTGGTAGACCCACAAGTAAGGGCCAGAGTGAGAATTGCCAGTTGCTGCACTAAGCTCTGGACTAACTAGGACTGAAGAGAGAGAGAAAAAAACCTCTGTTTTGCTAAGTCACCGAGAGTCTGCCTTTTCTGTCAGTTGCAACCATTCTAGTCCCAACTAGTCCAAACTTAACCTATCTGGGGCCTGGGCTGTTCTCTGCTCTTCTGCTTGGCTAACTGCTCTCTGGCAGTGATGTCTGGGTTCGTGGCCCCTCAGGGTACTGCACACAGCCAGCCCTCCCAATAATCTGTGAGAAAAACTTTTTTTTTTTTTGTGAGAAAAACTTTTAAGAAAATAGGCTCCTTGTTTGAGTATTTGTGAAACCAAAAATAATGGTATTTTGTGCTTTCTGAATTTAATAGCCCATCCCAGGACTAAAATCTTATGGAATTCTGAAGAAATTCAATGCTACATTATTAATACAAAAATGGAAATCTAAATGTTCAAAAATGGTGAGCTGGAAGGAATTTTGGAATGAGGAAAGATAAAAACTTTTTCAGTGTGAAAAACTGTAGAAACATGAATCCAAGTTTGGAAATGAACAGACACATGGTACAAAGCCTTGATACCAAGGTGTGAAAGTTTCTCTCCGCGTGGAAGGATTACAGATGTAATTTTTCTCGTTTCCTCATTCCGTCAGTGAACGTGCCATTACTTTTCCAATTGGGGAAAACGACGTTAAAAAGAAACAAAAGGGAGCGAGACAGGAAGAGGGAGGGAACCCGCAGTGGCTCCGAAGCTGCACCAGCCACCTCCCCGAGGGCGTCTGTACCCTGCGGCTTCGCTGACATGACCTGAGGGCATGGGAAGGAGGTAACGTGGCCCACAGACCCCCCTGAAAATGCACAGTCAGTGCTCCGTGCCTCGTGGAGGCCGCCCTCTTCTGAGTCACAGGAGGCTCTCCTGCATTCCCTCTCAGGGGTAACTGGATTTCTCCAGAAATCGCAGCGTCCTCCAGGGTGCACTTACCCACAGACAGCTGAAGCTGGGGATCCGAACGGGGGTGGGGGTGGGGTCTGTCTTCTCCTGCCGGAACTGAGGTGGCAGCAAAGGAAAAGTCAGGAATCCGCTTTCTTCCAATAAGAATTATTTTTAATGGTTTAAAAATGAGTCTGTACAAAACCTGCACCACCATTTGGTGCTTCCAGTCCACCGGGGAATTCCAAGGGTCTCTTCCACCACTATCTCTTTGGCCAGCTGTGCCTGAAACCCCTGCAGAGAGAGACAGTGTGAAAACAGAGAGTTACTTCTCCCAGTTGGGCTGGAGGTTTGCTCTCAGCCGGTTTACAAAATGCTGCAGACCTCAATGACGCACAACTGGGGAGGCATGGTTCATCCGGGGCTCCTGGAGAACTGAGCTTGGCAGCAGCATGTCCCTCACACTCCGGCAGACAAGAGGGGACTGGGGAAGCGCTCTGGGGCCCCACGAGGGTGGCTGTGTTCATCAAGATCTAAAGGCAGATTCCCTCCTCATCAGGCCACACCCTAGGGGTGAATCCTCTGGCTTTAGGCTCTGCCCTGGGGATGAGGGTTTCATGTTTTTAACGAAAATATTCTTAAATGATGACCCACATTTACTTCCTGATTTTTTTCTCCCTCACTCCTCAGAAATGGGAAGATCTGGGAAAACTTCCAGTCTATTTGCTCGGAGGTGACCCCGGGAAGCTGTATGGTTGGTTAACAGGCGGTGAGAGACAGGAATGTGAGTCCTGGGACGCAGGGACTGTCAGGTGGATGGCACTTGGCAAGGCCCTCCCCTCCTCCTATCTCAGCTGCCCGACCGACAGAGAGGGATCTGGCCAAGAGAGGCTCTCTGAAGCTTTCCAGCTGGGCCCTGTGAGCCCGTACGCCAGCCTCCCCCACATACCTGTCTGACTTTCCGGTTGGAAAGGACATACTTTTGTTTCCCACCGACTGTTTCAGTTTTTTGGGTGCAATGCATTTCTGAAAAGATAAAAAGCCATTTCAGCCGAGGGACAACCTGACCACAGGACACACACAGGAAACAACACAGGAGCCCAGCTGGCCCGTCCAAGACTCCAGTGCCACCAGTGTGATTGGTTTTCTTGCAAATGGACCTTTCTGGGTGCTTCTGAAGGCGAGGCCGTCCAGACGAGCTCCCAAAGGAACAGGAGGGCTCCACACAGGCCTCAGCCTCCGCATGCCAAACTTGCGGTCACGTTTGGCCCCGCCTGGCAGCAACGCCCACAGGGGCAGATGCAGGCTTGTGCGGGCGCCCGAGGGAGTGTTTATGGCCTGTAGCTGTAATTCCCATGGCAGTGAACAGCAAACACCCCTTCAAACCACACGCCAGCCTTCACAACCTCTTTAAAAGTTCATTTTTATTGCTGGAATAGCTGGTAGGTATTGTCTGTACTTGGGGAGAGATGAGGTGAGGGAAAGGATGTGCAGAGGAAGAGGGTTCCTAGCCAGGCCGTCTTCCCAGCAAAGGAAGAGGGGAAAAAAAGCACCACGAGGAGAGAATTTTCAAGAAGATTTTTCTTTCTTTTTAATGGTATCTTGTATTTTGTTTTTTGAATTTGGAATCAAAGCCTAGTTGACATATACGAGCCCATTAGTTTTCCACATCAAGTATATTTCTTACCTTGCCGGGCTGGGTCTGCTTATTTGGATCAAATTGGGAAGAAGGTTTCGGTTTGCTGTCTCCTGGAAGGTGAGAGAAGAGAGATGCCAGTGAGCGTGTCCGAGAGTTTATATACCCAACGGGCTGACCGCGGGGCTGGCGCACGATGTTCAGCTCGCCGCGCCCTGCAGGAGAAGGGACTTAGGCTGACAACAATTCATGTGGTGTGTTCCCAGTAGGGAAGGGCAGCCCGAACACCAGGCTCATTTCTCACAGATCTATTCTCAGCTCAGGGGCAGGTGGCTAAAGCATTAGCTCCTCTTACACCAAGGACATCCAGTCTGGTCTCTGTGTGCCCGTCAGGAGGTGCCACTGGCAGTCACTTGGGCCCTGGGGTGACAATCCTGTCCTACCTTCCCTCTCTCAAAGGGTTGTGTTGCCAAGGAGGCTGCCCTACCGTCAGGAGGGCCGGCTGCAGCCCCTCCGAGGCAGATGGACTCTCACCGGCTAAGGGGCCAGAGAGCAGCCCCCGGGCGTCAGGTTTCTTCGTAAACTCCTTGCCGTGTTTGTGTGTCTGTCTGAGAAAATGTGTTTCTGGGCATGAGCTACTGTGAGGAAAGATGGAGCCGCTATTAGAATGGACGCCATCTTGCGCTACGACCAGCGAGGCCACGGCGAGGTAGCTGCAGCCCAGGAGGGTAGGGGTGGGCGGTGCCTTCTGTCCCCGCACTGCGGTTCCCCTGCATGGCTCTCAGAGTGCTTGGGTGAGAGCCGTGTCTTTCTCGGGCTTCATGGGTGCCCAGGTCATGCTTTCTTTCCTCTACGGCTTCCTCCCTCCTAGCAGGGCCAGACATTCCTTAAAGGGGACTAGTCCCGGCCTCACCAGCAAAAGCCTTGAAATCCGACTTGCTGTAGTCATAAGGGGTGAAATCCTTTTCTGGCGGATCTGGGTCTTTTGGCTTCTTGGAAGTTTTGAGTCGCTTCTTTTCTTGTTTCTGCTCTGTGGTCCTTGGGTCACTTGTGGTTCGCTCCCTCTTCTTGGCGGCACTTTCCAGCTGTAAGGTGAACACCCCGTGGGAAGGACGCACGGGAGTGGATGCGACAGCCAGGCCCGCGAGCCTCCAGGCCTGCTGTGCTGGCATCTATGGGCTCGGGGGCAGGGAGAGAAGTGCGGGCGGCTTGTGAGCCTGGGCAGGGCTAGCACCAGGTGGGACACGTTCCTCGGTGGAGAGGGACATCAGGTCATTTACGAAAGGCACAACAGGCTTGGATATGCATAAGCTTTAGTACCTTGTCTACCACTAGACTCAGGGGTACGGTCTGTTTACCTAATAAATTCATCACAAAAAATCATGTAAGAGAAATTACAACATAAACGTTTTTGACGGGAAATGCAGGCACTAATTGACAAGCAAAATGAACTAGAAAGACGTCGAAGCATTTACTCTGAAGCACAGGACAAGCCCTCCTGCTATTCGGGGAAAATCCTGACCATGACCAGGGGCAGCTCATTTCTCAAAAGAGAAAGCAGAAGGGCCAGCACGTACGGCAGCCTGCTGTCGGACAGACACGGCCTGTTCCGCTGTCGCTTTGTACTCTTCCTTGGCCTGGTCCCGAGCAGCTGCAAGAGAGCACGGTCTGTGGAGCTGCTGTCTCCAGCAGCCAAGCCTCCCTCCGCATCTGGCTGCATCGACTGCTGTGGCTGCCACAGCCGGGGCGCCCTCCCTGCCCCCCAGTCTCCTGCACTGGCCCCCCGCCCCCAGCCCCTCAAGGATGGCCGCCTTGCAGCTCAGGCGCGGATGCTCTTCCTACACTCTGTCTGAAAGCCCACCTGCCCCTCCCCTGAGAACCCAAGCTGGACACCCACCAGCCTACGTGACGCCTCTCTGAGGTCTCAGAGGGGCTGCAATCAAAACACATCAAGGACCAGAACAAAGCCACTTCCCCAACTGGCTCCTCGTGCACTCTCACTCTGTTGCTGGCCACCCTGCCTTTCTAGTCGCTCAGGACCAGCCCTTCTGGCACCCACGGCCCCCTTCTTCCTCTTACGTGCCACACACACAACTCATCATCAAGTGCTGTCGGGTCACCACGGGGTACACATCGGCTTCGGGCCACTTCTCACCACCTCTGCTACCATGCTGGTCAAGCCAACAGCCCCTCACCTGGCCTCCCACCCTTGCCCTCTTTGCTGGACTCTCCACAGTCTCGGAGTGAGCTTTTCTGGTCAGTGCAGGCCACTGCTCTGCTCAGACCCTCCACAGCTTCCCGGCCCGCTCGGAGGACAAGTCACGTCCTTATACAACGGTCCTGTTCTCCCCATCAGCCACATTGGCTTCCTGGCCACTCTCTGCACACGCCCAGTGAGCAACTGCCTGGGGCTGTGGACTCGCTGGGCCACCAGCATGGGACCACTCTTCCCCTAGAAGCAGCCAGTCTTTGCTCAATGTCACATTTATCCGACTGCCTTCTCTAAACACCGTAGAGAAGTAGCCACCCCCCGCCACCCCAGCACTTCCTACCCCTCTCCCTGCCATCGGAAAGAACGTACATTTATGGGTACACTGTCCGCTACCCCCGGGAAAAGGCACGCTCCACAGGGCAGGGGCTGTGCTTTGTTCTCAGCCGTACTGACACTTCGTTGAACAAACAACAGGATACACGAGGCCTGTTCTTTGACAGACACCCCGACAGGCTGAGTTACAAGGAAGTGAGGGCTACCTGTTTGCTCCGCTGCCTTCCCCTTGGCAGTTTCTTTAGATTCCTTGTGCACCTGGACCTGGCTTGCCAGCTTCCAGCGGTTGCTGATCTACAAGGAAAACAAATAAAACAAAAACACTCCAAAACTCAGCCACCTAGGAATGCTTTACTTTTTTAATGAGGGGATGCCGGCCATGCTAATAACCTAGTCACTACACACATTTCTTAGTCATGAATTCCAAATCTGATGACACAAAAAATAAAATCTCTCGCTGGCTTTATTTATAAAATACTCATCAAGAAGGACAAAGTGCAACTGGATTCCAGGCACGGGGCCGGATGCCTTCCTGTCCGCCATCTCACTCAATCCCTTCCATAATCCCGGGACAAAAGCATCCTCATCACCCCCACTTTGAGATGGGAAACAGGCTCAGAGAAGCTAAATAATTTGTCTGGGGGGACACGGTTAGCAAATGGTGGAGCTGGGCTTCAAGGCAGGACTTCTCGAGTCGGGTCTGCTGTTGTACGATACCACATCTGCTCCTGGCGTTAGAACAGGTCTCGCTGGTATTAGAAGCACGGTAAGGGATGTGTGGTTGAATGGGCCACAACCCGTGGGGGAGGAAGGGAAGAAGCCCAAAAAATCCCCCTGACTCCCCATTTCTAAAGACAGCAGGCTAACCACTAGCGACAGGGCGAAGGCCCATCAGGCTTTCTGGCCTGACCTTTGCTGCCTAATGAAAGAGGGGGGCGGGCAGAGGGAGCCAGGCCCCCGTCTCATCAGAGCAGGTCCTTCCTACAGGAAGGAAGAAGGCTTTTAACAATTAACACGGTGGCTCCCAGGAACATCTCATGGGGCTCCAGGGAAGGTATTTCCTTATTCTTATCCATAATGCTGTTAAAAACAAACCAAACAATAGAAGACAGAATGTTTTAAAATTTAAGCTGTCACCTGTGAGAGCCTTAAAGTAATATTCACATATAAAAATGCATCAAGCTGAACACCTAACACCTGGGCACTTTACTATGTACAAACTAAACTTCAAGTAAAAACCAAACACAAAAACCAAAGACCTGTTTCTTAAAAGGTTTACAAAGGCTTCTGAAAATCAGAATAAAGTTCTGGCCCCCCTCTCTAGAAATAATGCTTATATATATTTATATATAAAGCGTTTTTTGTATTCATTTACAAGGGGCTCAAGATGGGCTTAAGACAAAAACCTCATTCAGATAATTAAGAAGCCCCCTTTTCTTAGAAAGTTACTCTTGGAAAAGGGTGACAAATCCACTTACTTCGTAGATTTTTGATGATGGATCAAACTTTGCTGCCTGAGAAATGTGAGCGCGGTGTTCGAGTGAAGGCAGGAACTGGAGGGATGAAAGGAAACGGTTGTTTAACTGTGCTCAGGACCTGCATGGGGGTTTTCTGGTGGGGTTCATTGTGGGAGGCCTAATTCAGAGCGTCCACCTGGCCACAGCTCACTGGCACTTGAGTGAGGTGTCCTTTCTGGTTTCACCTGAGAAGACCCCAACTCCGTCTCCACCCAGACACCAGGGACAGCGGACACATGCTGGGTTCAGAGACTCCCTCTCTCCAAAGACTGTCGGCTGCTTTTCTGGGCAAGAGGCCCCTACAAGCTGCAGAAAGCTCTGCCTATTCTGTCAGCCCTGAACACACACAACGCCTACTTACCATCTTAAATGGATTTTCGAAGGACTCCATTATGTTCTGGGCTTTCTTCTGCGCAACTGTTAATGGGCTCTTTCTACTTTCTTCGGCACTAGGTTCCTGCAGGGACAGAAAGTGAGCAACTTATCCCGTAATCATTCTGTGGCATTACGATGCAAGCAACGGAATAATCCTGGGTGGCTCAGTCGTTAAGCGTCTGCCTTTGGCTCAGCTCATGATCCCAGAGTCCTGGGATCGAGCCCCGCATCGGGCTCCCTGCTCAGCGGGGAGCCTGCTTTTCCCTCCGCCAGCCGCTCCCCCGTTCGTGTTCTCACTCTCTCTCTCTGACACATAAATAAATAAAATCTTAAAAAAAAAAAAAGTAGTAAGAATACCAGCTTTTAGATCTCTCACACGTACGAGGCACTGTCACAGTCTGTGATATAGCACAGGAGGGCGCTATAACACACATTTATTGAACCAATGAATTCTCACTGTGTCCTTACAACTTAACGAGATACGTGGTATTATTCTCACCATCTTACAGATGAGGAAACTGAGGCACAGAGCGGTTAAGTCTTCCAGAACCTGACAGTGAACAGGGGCAGAATGAAGACAAACTCCCAGGTCTGTCTCGCTCTAGAATGTGAGGTTGTAACCAGACACTTACAAATTAAGAATTATAAACTGTTGCGGGGAATCAGTACAATTAAGC